AATTTATCCTTATTGCGTAGAGTATTAACAGTATATTTATAATATTAAATATTTAACACTACGTGACTGGTGGGAATCTGCCAAGGTTGCAACTAAAAGTTATTTTGGTGATCAATTCATCTTGTGATTATTCTTTCAATTAATCATTTAGTTGTTCATAAGGTGAAGGCCCCGGCGGCGGCCGCGAGAGCCCCGGCCCGGTGGCAACTGCCCCAGTCCCGGCAGAGACTGTCCCGAGTCCGGGCGGCGACAGTCCCGGGTCCCGGCGGAGGGTCTGTCAGTGTCTTTGACTCTGTCCTCGCCAATTTCCTGTGTGGAGCTTTAGGCTAAAGTAGCAGCTGCCGCTAATCGTGAAGCAGCTACTTGTTGACGCAGCAGGTTGACGTGACGTGACGTGACAGAACAGTTGTCCAATCACACTACACTAAATAAGCAGAGACTGTGATATTGTAAAGTTTGTGCCCTCAGCCCGAAGTGAAATGCGCCAATCAAAATCATTTTTAAATAGTAATAATAACGGCCTGTGCTGGGGGGTGAGGCACCAGTGGCCGCTAGGGGGGGCACGGCCCTCAAATGCCCCACCTTGCCGCCGACACCGTGTCGTGTGCTGTAGGAGCGGCATCTGTGTTCATGTCTCTTATTGTAGTTTTGTTGACGTTGTTGGGTCTGGGTGGGAGCCGCATGTTACAATTCAATTCAATTCAATTCAATCTTTATTAAGAACACATGATATCTGGTTCATAGTATAAAAAAAAAAACAAAAAAAAACGTTGTGTTGTTGCGTAAAGTTTGCGCTTGGCTGTTCATTGTGCTCTGATCGATATTGTTCAGCCAATAGTAACCAAAATGTCTGTTTCTGGTATTTGTTATAATACTATAGACTAGATATATAATACATATATAATTCATAATATATATTTATAATTTTGGCATTGGTGCCCATCCCAAAAATTATACCACCAGCTGCCACTGGTCCTGTTTTAGTCCTGGTTTAGTCCCGGTCCCTCAAGTCTCAGGTCTCTATAAGACAGTACTGGACGGCGCACCCTCTCGTACCACGCACACTACAGCCCTGGTGCTGCCCGATGCGTGGCTATTTCTTGCCCGATTGCTTCTTTCAGCGATGTTGTTTAGGGGTGTTTTTGACGAGAGGCTGTTGTTTAATGTTTACAACCAGTGTCAGGCCTTATTGTTCTTTAATAAACCTCAACCTTACAGCCTCAACAACTATTGCAGCTAATAATAATAATTTTATTAAAATAATGATAAAAATAACAACAACACATAATTAGCCAAATACTGTTAAAGAAAAACGTGTTTGATAGCGTCTCTGCTGTGTATGACTCCACCGCGTTAAAATATTTCTCAAATGGCAGTGCCCCCCCTGCTGGTCACCCACGCCCCTCCAGTAGATGTGCTCTGACGCCGACTCTGCTTTAATAATAGCTCTGAAAAAAAAACAAAAAACTTTTCATCACTCAGTTTCATTGTTGTGTTTGGGAAAAAGCACTTCAACCCTTCCTATTTCAGTCTCAGTAAATGGTTGTTTGACTGGAAGGGCAAAAAATCAACTGATTTCAAGGAATAAAACAAATATATTAAACCAGCAGCAGAAGGCGATTGAAGTTTGGATATACTAACTTTATTGTCCATTCGCACAAGCATACACAATACATAACAGAATCATTCCATCTGGATACAGTGGTCAGATACTCCCTTAAGTAAAAACTTTGGTCTGGCTCTCTCCGTAAACATAATCCTATAGTACAGTTTACAGTTTACAGGGACATGCGGTTAGTAACTGGCTATAGGAAGGTGCTCTGTGGCAGTAAACTTTTAGGGATGAACCACAACACAAAACAACAACTATGGAAACAACTGCAAAAAAGGAAATATAGATTAGCTAAAAAACATACTTTAATTCATGAGAGTCATTTTGATTTGAGAAGTTTTGAATAGCTAAAGGTGCACTATGTAAGTTTTTGGTTGGGGGTCCGTCACCTGCTTGTTTCTATGGATATGGCATTGTTCTGCCTGGAATGTTCCATAGTATGACATTAAACAATTCTCCCTTACATTTATTAAATTACAGGAGGTTTCATAGTGCAAACCCCCCCCCAAAAAAAAAAAAACAGGCATTCTGACTGTGAGCACCTCTCCACAGATCAGACTTATAACTTGGTCTGGTTTGGTCTCCATGAAAATAGAAAAATTTAATGCCATACTGTGAAACATTCCAGACAAAGTAATGGCATCTCTATGGAGAAAAGCATTTGACGGACCCTTCCACCAGAAACGTTACACAATGCACACATTAAAGAGTACACAAATGAATCCACATTAGTGTGGTCATTGTTTAAACTATAGTTATTTGGGAAAAAAAACTATTTTTATTAACCTGTAAGCATAGACTGTATAGACTTGTATATGATTATCAGTGTTGTTTTGTGTGAAATGCAATAAATTAAACTATTTCTTTTTCCTATACTCTGTATTGATAATTCATCTGTAATTGATTGAAGACATGAATAAAATCACAAGACTTTTTTTAAACTGAATGAATACATTTTAAATGTACATTGTGGATCTTTTCTGGTGGAGGATCCGTCAAATGCTTGTCTCCATGGAGATGTTATTGCTTCATTTGGAATGTTTCACAGTATGGCATTAAACCTTTATGTTCATGAAGACCAAACAAGACCAAGTTACAGGTCAGGTCTGTGGAGAGGCAACCCCACTCACAGTCAGAATACCTGTTTTAGTTTTTTTAGTATTTTTGAGCTATAAAACCACCTGTAATTGAATAAATGTATAGTAGAGATGTTTAATGCCATACTGTGGAACAATTCAGGCGGAACAGTGACATCCATAGAAACACGCAAGTGACCGCCAACTGAAAAGTTACATATTGCATCTTTAATGATTAGATATAAGTAAGTAAATCTCAAATATTCAAAACTATTCAAACAAGATTATGAATTCAAGTTGTTTTAACTTATATAATAAAATATAATATTAAGTCCAAGATTTCTGCCCTTACATTGGAGATACGGGATTTCATTACTAGTGCGTGTTAAAATACCCACTATAGATCATTACAATCATATTGAAACATTTAAATAATAATACTACAAACTATAAAATACTCAAAAGTAAGAAAAATCAGATAATGTTTGAATTCACCCCAGTGATATTGATAAGGTACATGTGTTTTAACAGTCTTCACTTGGTGCATAATGTCTCCCTTCAAGTCAAAACTTATATCTGTACATTCTAAAAATAAATATGTATATAGTAAATTGAAATTATTGAATACAACATAACATATTTCTTAGGGCTGTAGAAAACATGTGATGCTTGTTTGGGACACTAGGGGGCAGTACATTGTGAAAGCCAAGTGGAAATTTCAGCATAGAAGTTTGCAGCAGCAACCCCCATTCAAAGAGGTAAGGGCAAGCGATTACATTCTAAATTCAAATGTGCCCAGGAAAAAAAATTTAGAACAAATGATAAAAAAGCAGAAGACAGCATAGCAGGTGAGCTGTAGTAATTTGCGATATTGTGCTGCTTTCAAGTGCGTGTGGGATAATTTGTTTCTCTCATTTTTGTTTATACTGTGGGGAATTGAAGATGTCACTTCGTAGTTTAAACGTCCTACATTATGTAAAATTGACTCTTGTAAGATTGAATCAGTGTTATTTCCTCAAACATACTTGGAATTGTGTTTTGTTTCACTCACACGTTTGAGTAATCCTTCATTATTACTGTTTTTAATAATTATTTTGATAATCTAAACTACTGTTGAGTTCTAATGAAATGCTCAATTTGTGTTTCAAGTGTTAGAAATAACATCAGTGTACCCTCTCCCCACATGCCAAAAATCTATTTACCACACAGCACTTGAAAGCAGCATTGTTTAAACAGTATTTGTTGTGAATACTATAGATAGATTTATGTATTTCTTGGTGTGTATATTTGTGTGTAAAACATGCACAGTGAAAGTTGAACAGACTCATTTTAAATCTCCTTCGTCTCCCTGGATGGTCTTTTTGATGCGCAGCAGCAGAGTCGTGTGCCACTGATCCAAACGAGAAATGGAGTCGAACTCTTTCACCTGAAAATAAACAAGAAAGAGATATTTAAAAGGTCTTATATTACGCAAAATTTACACTTGTGAGCATTAAGCCATGTTATAATGTCGTTTCGTTATGAGAAACACCCTGAGTTGTGTTTTGTTTCATTCACACATGTTTGAGTAATCCTTTATTATTAGGCTGTCTACATCTCCAAAGCTCAAAATGCTTTGTTCCACTTTGTGATGTCATGAAGTGGTAGTTTTCAAATTAACAGTTCCTTTTACATGTAGTTCAAGAGCGAATGCCAATTCCAGGGCTGATTCAAATGATTCCAGTGAATGTGTATGGCATTTAAAAACACAATACTACCACATGACATCACAAGGTGGAATGGAGTGAAAGAGAAGAACTCAGCCTAAATCTGCAGGGTTTGTGTGTTAAACGTGTGAATGAAACAAAACACAACTCCAGGTCTGTTTGTGATGAGGAAACAATTTTAGAGCAAGGCTTAAAGATCACTTTTGTGTAATATAGGACATTTTTGATATAGCAATAAGGTTTGTAAGCGTTACCACAACTACATTATGATATGTGACTTTTTTTCTTTTAAATAAAATTTCTTGAATACTTATTTATTTATTTGTATGTCTCATGGAGATTTTTGCATGCTTTTCCATTTTTTTTGCTCCAAAAGGCTAACCTAACCCAACCTTATTATAGACAATCCAATAGTCTTTATAAAGTGAACTGAAACTAAAGAAAGTTTCAAAAATACTCATGCTAGAGAAGAGACTGACGAATCCACTCATGTACTTCAAATTCACAAGGGATGGAAACTAGCTATATATATAAAAAAACATCTAAAGATTTGATACTATCTTAAGACTTACTGCGTCTGTGAATGCCTCACTGTTCTGCTCCTCGTGGGCCTCAAGAAGTTTCTGTTTTAAGACAAAATAATAAAGTAATAATGTCAGTTACTCCATAAAAAAACATGGGGGATACAGCGTCCTATGAGATATTTGAATATGAGGTATTCAGGGCACCTTCAAAAGTTTGCATTCTCTTGAGTCCGAAAAAGCAGGGAACATCTCCTCGTACTTCTCAATCGCGATCTGTACAGAGACAAAATGTAAAAAAAAAAAATACAAAAAGTCTCACTCTGCAAAAAGACATACTTATAAATGACTTGAATTCAGAATATTAAAAAGGTGCTCAGGTGTACCTGCGTATCTGCTTCCCTCAACTGAAATATTACTGTTTCGTCTAGATTAGAATGTTCCACAGTAGGGCATTAAACTTGTCTAGTAATAATATTAAATTTGTTGTTTTTGCTCAACCTTGTAATCCAAGCTCTGTGATCAAGTCCATCTCTCCACAGATCTGACTGGTAACTTGGTAGCTTGAGATGGCTTCCTTTAATACCATACTGTGGAACAATGAAGACAAAGCAATACTATCTCCATGAAGAAAACAATGAACCCAGTAAAATGTAATAATGCACCATTAACTGTTTATATGACCTACCTATTTTGTCTTATATCATGACATTTCTGATTTGTTTTAAGATAAAATTATAAAATAAATAAATCTGCAGCTAGGGTAAGTTTGCTTTTCATATGTATCATGTCAGACACAGCTTGAAGTCAAATAAATTGAGGCATAATAAGTAAATGAAGATATATTTTTTGAATTCAAGTAATTTTCCCTATCCCCAAAGATGATTTTTTTTTTTTTTTACAGTGAAGTGTACACTGGTGGTAGCTATGACAGCTTACCTTAGCATTGAGTTCATCCACAATAAAATGGCAGAGAGAAGCTTTGAAGAAATACTCCTTTGCACTGTATTTCAGGAGTGGGTTGTCCATGACATTGGCCCCAACCTGTCGAGAAACACAGACAAGTATTACACACATTTGTATAAAAGAAAAACAGATATACTGTGATTGTCAGTACACAGCAAGTTTAGGCAAGGGAGGTTTATTTGTATAGCACAATTCATACACAAAGAAATTAAAATTGCATTATAGAATAAAAAAGACATTATAAAATCACAATAGAATCAAATCAAAATTTACATTAAAAGAGAAAAGAGTTGTACCTGCTCGTAGATCTCAATGGCTTTCTGGTACTGCTCCAGCTGAGCGCAGTAGGCTCCTACTTTCAAAAGGCATTTGTTGGCAGAACTAAAAACAGCAGAACAATAATTTACTTACTTTTATTATATTTTACTTATTTTAAATTTGTAAAACAATCTAAATTGACACATAATCAATACATTTCAAATATCTACCAATATATACCAGAGTAGAAGATATTTTGATGTATAAAGGACTTACATACACATGAATACCATATATGTTTTTAATGGGCCCAGATGACACCATTTTCTGATCTGAGTCATAATGTTGTTTCCTCATCACAAACATACCTGGGGTTTTGTTTCATTCACACATGTTTAACACACAAACCCTGCATATTTAGGCTGAGTTCTTCTCTCAAACAGAAAACACTGTTCCACCTTTGAGGTGTTATGTGGTAATACAGAAACTGCTACATTTGTGAACAAGTGCTTTTAACCTTCATACACCTTCGCATTTGGATGATTTCAGCACTAGAATGGCCTAACACTGCTGAACTAATGGTAAAAGGTAGTGGTTAACTTGAAAACTACCGCTACATGACATCACAAGTTGGAGCTGAGCATTCTAAGCTTTGGAGATGTAGACAGACTAATAATAAAGAGTTACTCAAACATGTGAATGAAACAAAACAACTCCAGCTCTGTTTTTGAGGAGGTAACATTATAACATGACTTAAAGCTCACAGGAGTCAATTTTGTGTAATATAAGACCTCTGTGTAAGATCAAATTTTATTATAGTACCTGTTGGATTCTTCTCCTTTGTAGTAGTCTGCTGCCTGTTCATAATGTGCAATGGCCTATAGAAATCAGCACAATACATTAACAAACAGTAACATCCCATTTAGATTCAAAAGCTTTTATTGTAATATTTGCACTGTAAGGAAAACCTGTTTATTTAAATGTTGCTCACCTTTTCAATGTCTACCATTTCTGACTCATAGATCTCTGCAATACTGATGTGATGTTTGGCTGCAATGGTGAATCTTCCCTGATGAGAAACAAGAATTAAGAAGCGATTACCACAGAGTTCATATATTTAGTGATTTAAAAGCTTTACCACCAACTATCACAGAGTTCAGACTTAGAATAAATTTGACTTTTTTGTCTTGAATGGCAATGTTTAAAAGTCTGCATTGTTTATTTTCAGGAACAAGGTCCATTGTGATCTGATCTTAAAGAGGCAAAATCGAATTGAATTGAAAATCTGAATCAATCAATAAGCAGCATAACACTGGTCATATGGCCAAGCCCTAATTAAAATGACTGGAATCAACCAAGGGATACACTAACTAAAGACTACACTAACCAAGGACTAAACTAGGTCTAAACCCAGATTAAAACTGGTCTAATTAAAATCAAAACCATATAAAAAAAAAATTCCAAATCAACACTAAATCTGGACTAAATAAATGATTTGACATGACTTAATCAAACACCTGGATAGCACAGTAAAATAATAGGACAAACATAGCCACAGGTAGGAGAAGGAATGACAGGCTTTCCATTGCGGGCTACACCAGATGAACTCTCTACATGAATCTTACCATGTCTGTGTAAATATCGATGGCGGCATTTAAACACTTGATTGCCTCTTAGCAGCATTAAGAGAAAGGAGAAGACACCACAATAGTTCAATATACAAAATCATCATTGGTGTATCAGGGTTGTTTGGACGTATTTTTAAACTAGACATAGTTACAAAATAAATACAATATCTTCTTACCATTTGGATCAGACTTCTTGTAGGCGTTTCCTGCATCGATGAAGCTGACGGCGCAGTCGTGTTTGTTCTGTAGCTGCATGTGAAGACGAGCAGCTTTACAAAACGCCGCACCAGCCGCTGGGGGAGCATCAAGAAGTTTGTATTAACCTGTATTTAGATTTACACTGTAATATAGACACATAATAATGCTGTAGAATTGTGGGGGCAGCCTCAATTAATTAATACAATTATCTATCAGCTCACTTTAATTATCTAATGGAGCTGTACAGTAGCACAGCAGTACAATGGAGAATAGACAGAAAGGACATAAAGAAGGAACATAAACTCAATAAGAGACAATAAGAATAAATACAAAGTGCAATGCAGTTCACTGTGATTTCTAACTTTGCAGTTGCAAATGGACTGAAACATTGAAGACATTAAAATGCCCGTGGCCTATGCCCGCATGTTCAAACTATGGCACAGGGGCCCGCAGGCTTCCAGGTGAACTGGCCCCCTAAGCAGTAGTTTTTTAATGAAAAATCTATCCCGATAAAGCAAATATATCACTACGTAGAGGGTCCTGGTGAGGATTTCAGAATGAATAAAGGTCTGGTGGCTCATTCTAACATGTTATATATTGTATTTGAATCATTCCCTATACTGACCACCAGTCTATGGCTCTCGATCGGCCCTTCTCTTTGTCTATGTTTTAGTATACAGCTCTTGATGAAAAAAGTTTGGGCACTCCTGCCTTAAAGTTCTGTACCATTCCAGTTCTTGGTCATTTTGAACATGTTGGCAGCTCTGGAGTACATCTCACAGGCCTCTTCAACTTTGTGATGTCCTCTGAAAACAAAAATAGCAGAATAACCAGAAAATTATTAAATACAGTTTATAAGATATAAATGTGGTTAAGGATGTCGCAATATCAAATGTTGGTGTTTCATACTATACTATTACTACTAATAATTATTATGTTATTAGACCTATATATAGAAACAAATGTAATAAACAAAAAATAGACTGATTATATGCCACTTTCACCATTTAATCTGATGTTTTGAAGAGAGCTTTGGTAGCATTAGGTCTTGACATGATGCAGTGATTTTCTCGCTAGTTTACAAAGATGCTAAAGGTTAACTTTGTAGGCCAGTGAAACGTAAAGACAATTTAACATAATAAAGATAAGACAGTGCTTGTATTGTCCGTATATTTAGTCTGCTTTCATTGTCACACAGAAACAGGCTGCGTGCCAACTTTGCAGCTGACAGTGACGCTAGCTGTTTATCTATGGTGCAGTGCTTTCTTACCCTCCAAACATTCCTCCCAAAAAAGATCCCGAAGATTTCACTTTTTTATCGGCGTCAGCCATTAGCTGGATAGCCTCCTTTTCTTTCCCGGAGTTGTCCATTTTTAATTTTACTTGAATTATCTTAAAACGAGGCAAAATATCCGCAGAGCTCCGGTACAGTGAGGATTACAGTCGAGGGGTTTATTTAGCGTGGGCGTGTTTTCGGAAGCTTAAATCGGTGCAGTGTAGACTGGGAAATGTAGTTCTTTGGAGTTCAAACGCTATAGACCACAATGCAAAATAACAAATCAAAAAACTACAATTTCCAGTAACCAGTTTTTATCTTACTTATCGGTTTGTTTACGATATGAAAAATAAATGCAAACGTTTTATTATACTATTTGTTCCCTTTTGTTTTGGTTTATTTTAATGTAAATAATTGAAATTAATACGTAATAATAATAATAATAAAATACCGGTTGTTTTGTGTAACTTGATTTCAACAGCAGATGGCGTAAAAGCACTTTTATATTTAAAACACAACTTCGTGCCAAGTCAAAGGGTTAAAACCAAACGCCCTTGTTGACTTGTGATACAAACCAGCCTGATGGGTGTGTTCCATGGAAAATCAGAGAAAGAGAAACATTTATCAGTACCTTTAATATGTTGCAAGGATTCACTCTTAACACCAGTCGCTCTATAACTCACTTTAACAATTATCAACCTTCCTCATAGTCTAGTTTTGCAATGTTGTTCTGTCCGTTTTTGTTGTTTGTTTTTTTTTGTATGCATTTTTATTCAGCCAGAGTCTTTTTTTATTCCTTATTTTATTCATACGTCAGTTTATTTTTCCTATGATTATTTTTATGGTTTACTTTGCACAATATTGCCGAAGCACATTGTGAATTCTGTATCCATAAAAGGGATTCTGATAACAGGTAGGGCAGGCTATTTATTTACTGAAGTGGTAGCCTAGGCTTTAATATAATAAATGCTTATCAAGTTGTAGGCTATATCAATTTTATACAGCCTATTTTAGAGCTAAGTAAGTAGGTCAAGGGTATGAACATGTCAATCAATAAACAAATGATTGATAAGCACAAAATGTCATTGCAGAATTTAAGTTCATTATCAATTTTCTGAAAGATTAGACCATTTCTTCAGCTGTAATTACATATTTGGGAGAATATGGCTCGAACACACCCTTAGCGGTCTGTCTGGCCAGTGTAATTTTGCATATATTTGCATCATTACTTTGTTTTGTATGCGTGCAGAGACAATATAGGTTACCAACAACTGTGAGATGTGGATATATTATTACTGATTAAAACTTGATCTTTGTATTGACATCGTGTGAGTTTCAAAAAGCCTTATCTAGACTTGATAGGAAATGCTAACCACAGCAAAAAAAAAAAAAAAAAAAAAAAACACAATATTTCAAGAATTTACATTTTAATTTATTTTAGATAGTAATGGCAGTACATGTTTCCATAATTGTCCATCTTCCCATCATTATTTACAACTATACAGGGCATGCAAAAGTCATGCAGTCCATTCTTATAGCTGGATTTGTGCGATAATGACATAATGCAGATAGTATTTACATTAGTTTGCATTGCTGTACATTTATTCTATACAAAAAGATGCAGTAATTCAAGTGTAATTCCCCTGACATTTTACCTAGAACTAACACATGCAATGAAAATAACTGCAAGGTGGAAGCAAAAAAAAAAAAAAGTTGCGTTCATGTAATTTCTTAAAGGGCCCATATTACGCCATCTTCTGTTCTGTTATAATGTTGTTTCTTGTTTCCATGTTAAATAAATATACCAGAAAGTGCTCCACTGTGTTTTTAAAGTCCAAACACATTCACTAGAATCATTTGGATGATTTCAGCCCTGGAATTTGAACTTGAAAACTACAGCTTCATGACATGACATTGTGCAACGGAGCATTTTGAGCTTTGGAGATGTAGACAGACCAATAATAAAAGGTTACTTAAACATGTGTGTATGATAAAGACAACTCTGTATATGCTTTTGCGAAGGTAACAACATTATAACATGGCTTAAAACTCACAAGAATCAATTTTGTGTAATATAGGACCTTTAGTGCCTTCAATAAAAGGGGATCTGTCATTTTCAAATTAAGAACATATCTTTTTCGAATTTGCAGTTTAAAAATGTCAAATTGTAAATATTCTCATCTAAATTTTGTGTTAATACTTCTGCTATAGGTGGTTTGAACTTTGCAAGCTCATAAAACAGTAAAACAAAACAACATTTGTCAATCTGAACGCAACACTTTGATGCATTTATGAGTTTAAGTTATAAAGTGAGATACAGAACAGAATACAGCCAATGTACAAACATTCCCCTCTAAGGCCCACGGCTAATGAATAAATAACATTAAAAAAATCTGCATTCATTTAAGTTAAAGGTAGTTCAAGTGAAGTAAGTAGCACATAGAGAAAGCAAAGCAAAATAGCAAGGAATAGCAAGGTTATCTTAAAAGTGCATTATGTAATTTTTCTGGAGTGTTTTATTGCTTTGTCTGCTGCCTAAAATGTTCCTTAGTATGACTTTAAACTATTAGGAGTTAAAATTGCTCAAAAATACATTAAGAACGTTGACCTGGCTTGGTAGCACCACTTAAACTTAAATATCTCCTTGGAGGTGGTTAAGGCCATACTGCGGAACATTCCAGTGACAAAGCAACATCTCCATAGCGGCAAGCAAAATACAGCAGATCCTCTACCGGAAAAGTTACACAGTGCATCTTTAAAACACTCCATTGTTCCTCATTCTGCAAAGAGAATAGAGATCCTTCTATAACAATACCTTTCAATATGGCAAATACCTCAACCATGGTCAACTGTGTATCCATATTCAATTTGGTATAAAGCTACACTAAATGCACTAAATGAGTCCTTTTAAATTTACAATCTGGTTACAATCTACACAAGGAAGAATTTTAGCACTTTAACTAGCAATAAATGCAGAAAAATGGCTAAATAAATATATACCAAAAAGCACCAGTCTGTTGGTATTCCACAATCATTGATGCTTTTCCCAGGCCTCTTTAGAAAATCAGCATTTGAATGAAATAAAGAAGACATTGTGGAAGCTAAATCCTGTGATACTTGGCTCAAAATGATTGGACTAGAGCAGCGGTTCTCAAAAAGTAGTACACGGACTTCATCTGGGGACAGTCAGGGGTTAGTTCCCATTTTAATTAAATTTAATATGTTCACTTTTTTAAAAAACATCTTTGGTTAGGGTTGGTTTAGACCTGGTTTAGTCCTGGTTTATTCCATGGTTGGACTTGGTTTAGCCCTGGTTTGATCCCAGTTAAGTCGTAGTTTAGTCCTAGTTTAGTTTGTAGAATAGCTTTACTCCTGGCTCAGATCCATCTTAGTAAAGACCTGTTTTATTTCTACATAAGACATGATTTTGTTTAGATACCTAAATTTAACCTGGTTGCCTTTAGACCTGGTTTAGTCCTGGTTCAGAATTAGGCTCATTTTGGTCCATCCTTCACAGACATTTTGTGAAAAAGTGAAGTGAAAATAGTTTTACAAATGAACCAGCTTTTGCCCATATTTTGTCTAAGTTCATTCTCCAACATTCTTAGTCAGTATTTCCATATTTGTGAATGTTTTTTTTTTTTTGTTTTTTTTTAAAGGAGGAGCTGAGACCAGAATCGGACTTTACGCTTTTGGCCCTGGCCTTGGAGGTGGTTTAAACCTGTTGCAGACCTGGTTTAGACCTGTTATAGATCTGGTTTGATCTCAGTTTAGCCTCAGTTTTAGCCTCCATTTTAGTCTCAGGTTTAGACCTGTTATAGACCTGATATAGACCTGATAAAGGCCTATTTTAGACCTGGCTTAGTCCTAGTTTAGTTTTGGGTTAGTCTCTAGATTAGGTTTACTCCTGGCTCAGATCTAGTTTAGTAAAGACCTGTTTTAGTCCTACTGTATATTGGACCTGGTTTTGCCTAGTTTAGATAACCAAATTTACCCTGATTTCCTGGTTCAGTCCTGGTTCAGTCCTGGTTCAGTCCTGGTTCAGTCCTGGTTCAGAATTAGGCTAATTTCCGTCCATCCTTAGCAGACATTTTGTGAAAAAGTGAGGTGAAGATGTGTTTTACAAATGAACCAGCTTTTGCCCAAATCTTTAGAGTCCATTCTCCAACATTCTTAGAGAGTATTTCCATATTTGTGAATGATTTTTTTGTTTTTTGTTCTTCAGGAGGAGCTGAGACCAGAATCGGACTCAGCACTTCCAGCCCTGGCCTTGGAGGTGCATAAGTCCACAGAGGAGCAGGGGATGGAGGAGCAGGGGATGGAGTAACAGGAGCAGGTGGAGCTTTTCAGGGTCTCCTCTGTGATCACCTCCCCCAGAGAATGCTGCGCCTCCACCTGGAAGAAGCCCAGCTGCTCTACTTGGTCCTCACCAATTCTGCAAAAAAAAAAACAAGGACAAAAACATGTTAAAGGTGCACTGTGTAACTTTTTGGTTGGGCGTGTCCATCACCTTCTTGTTTCTATGAAGATGCCATTGCTCTGACTGGAATGTTCCACAGTATGACATTAAATAGCTCTACAATACATTTATTCAATTACAGGTGGTTTTATAGCTCAAAAAAACTAGAAAACAGTCAGACATTCTGACTGTGACGGTCATCTCTCCACAGATCTGACCTGTAACTTGGGTCTGGTTTGGTTCCATGAAAATAGAAGGGTTTAATGCCATACTGTGAAACATTCCAGACAAAGCAATAACACCTCCATGGAGAAAAGCATTTGACAGACCCTCCACCAGAAAAGTTACACAATGCGCCTTTAAATTATAAGGAAACTTCAAAAAGGGCTGAGAATCTAGGCCTTCAGAATTGAATGTAATTAACTAATGAAATGCTTATACCAATTTGTGTAATGCCCCAGTGTGTCAACAGTAGCAATCCATGGGTTTCAGAATGATGAAAAACTGCGGCCGTTGCCATAGCGATTAACAACTTTAAACAAAATATTATGTCTTTAGAATGGGGGAAAAGTCCTCCAAAAGTTGCATAAAACAAACTGAAATCCATGAATAAGTGAAGAAGGGGAAGTAATGATTGGTTTTAACTTCTGCTTCATCACAGATATGTGCTTAGTCAAGTTGAGAAATAAGTGAATTTTATCTAGTGTATTTTTTTTTTTTTTTTAAGTATAATTAGCATATTATATCTCATTCTTTGCATTTAAAAAAATAGGTACAATAATGAACAACTGAAAACAATATATTGTTTTTTAAATATGAAAAAATTTCTCAAAATGTTGCCTATAACAAGAAATTGAAATCCATAGTTGTACCTGTTGTTACCAAAAATGAATGCACTATATAAACTGAAGATGGTGCACTTTCCAATAGAAAACATTTTTTTTAATCAGTCATGTTTTTGTGCATGTATTTGAGAAGTTGTAGTGAAAAAGGTTACTACTGGGTATGTTTATTAAGAGGGGTGCTGTGGGCGCCCAAAATCTCAAGTTTGGTTGCCGCTCAATTATTTATTTATTTTTTCTTCAATTTTTGAGGTCCACGATTTATTTACTCCAAGCAGATATTTACAAACTAACTGCTAAACTTGAATATTTGAGCACAAATTTAGAATCTATGACCCAGAATCTACAACCAGCTTGCTAGCTCTACTTTTTATGAAGTTATGATGTCTCCAAAATGCTTATAATTTAAGGTATCCGAAAAAGTGAGCATGGTCCCAAAATTTCAACAGGCAATAACTCAAGAGTGACTTAAGGGATTGAGCTAAAATTTTAGATTCTTTCATTTGGTAATTTTTGAAATATTTTACATTTTTTTAATCTGAGATGGCTCATATGGGAGGGCGGCTGATCCAAAAGCACAAGATAAAAGTTAGTCTCTCTAATCTCTTACAGCTCAAAATATCACATAGGCTCTTTAGATTCTCAGTCCTTATACCACACAGAACCTTCTATTAAAACAAAGACACTTTAAAGGTACACTACGCAACTTTTCTGGTGGACGGTCCGCTGCCTACCTACCTGCTGTAACCTGCTTGTATCTCTTGTGATAAATAGGTTTAACCTATACTGAGGAACATGGGAGACAAAGCAATAACATTTCCATGGAGACAAGCAGGTAGACCCTCCATTAGAAATGTTACGCAGTGCACCTTTAAATAGTCAAGTCAAGATGCAATGTGCAGTATAAAAATAACCAGGCCAAAGTAGGAACAGCACAGTTAAATAAAATAAAAACTGTAGAAGAAGAAGCATGACTGTGAGGAACACAGAATTTTAGCAAAGTAGCTTGAGCGGTAATCATTGCTAAATCTCATTATACAGGACTCAGGTTAAAACGTGTTTGAAACCTCACATGACCATCATCCACAAACGTAAACATGGAGCTGAGGGTTAGTGAGAGCGTGCCCTGCTTCAGCGCTGAGGGTTAGTGACAGTATGGCCTGATTCTACACTCCAGACGAGACTCAACACGAACTGGTCAAACAAAGAAGCGATCAATAATGCAAAGTTACAGTTTGTAAGTTTTTTTAGTTTTCAAAGTGTATTGGGGTAAAGGCTATAGGGTACAGAATTTCAAGTGATTTAAGTTTCAGTCATTTCTAATCATCAGCTTGGGCCTTTTTAATCAAAAGGTCTACAGTCAATCCTCTGACCGTAAAAAGCGCAGAGTGGGGCTGGGCAATTTATCAAATTAAGTTGATTAATTGGGGTTTTTAATAATCGAGATTTTTAAAAAATCGTGAAATTGAGGATTATTTATTATTATTATCATTATTAATTCATTGATTAACAAGTTAACTCCAGACTTTCTCACTTGCAAAGTTATTGTGCAATTACAATTATACAAATGTAACTGAAAGCAGCTTACAATTTTTTAAAGAATAGCAATATGGTATGATATGATGTGTAAAGCTCTCCCCCCGTTTCAAACATCAGCAGTCCCCCTCTGAATTAAAAATAAGATTTTACCTTTTGGCTAAATCGCTCAGTTCTAGCAGAGTATAGAGGAAGAAATTTGACCATTTTTTGAGATATATGACAATGTTTAAAGGCCTGCAATGTTTATGATCAGGAAATCAATATTGAAAGACTTTATTTGGTTTCATAAGACTAAATAAAAATTCATCAGAAATGAGGACTGAGGAGAAAAATTCCAATTAGGGTTGTCGAAAACAAATCAATACAATCACATTCCATAATAATTTTGAGTCGGTATGTTGTAAGACCCCAGCGTGTATGGTAATAGTATTAATTTGTACTGGAAATTTGAATATCGTAACAAAACAGCCCTTGTGTGCATGAGGTGGAATTGTCAATATGCAGTGGACAACTCAACATTTCAGTGAAGAAATAAAGATTTCAAATGTCATGCAGTCACTTCATCATTTAAATATGATGTTTTGTACCATAGCACTGCTCATACGACATAAAATACACAAAAATAAGCAGGGCAAAATGATTGACAGGGCAGTTGACCAATCAGCTTGTAGAAAAAAATATTATTTCAATAAGAAATATTTAATATAATCGCTTTACAGTTTTATTAAAGGGCCCATATTACACAATTTTCTAATCTGTTATAATGTTTCCTCATCACAAACAGACCTGGAGATGTGTTTTGTTTCTTTCACACTCTGTTCCACCTTGTAATGTCATGTGGTAATACAGGAAGTGCTCCACTGTGTTTTTAAACTCTATCCAAGTGATTCTAGTGAAGGGGTATAATTTCTGACCTGGAATTGCTGATCTTTACTGAACAAAAGGTAGAAGGAGATGTTAACTTGAAAACTACCAATACAAGGTCATCACAGAGCACTTTGAGCTTTGAAGATGTAGACAGACTAATAATAAAGAGTTAATTAATCAAACATGTGTGAATGAAACAAAACACAACTCCAGGTCTGTTTTGGATGATGTAACAACATTATAACATTGCTTAAATCTTACAAGAGTCAATTGTGCCTAATATAGGACCTTTACATTTGCCCAACTGTTTTGGAGACTTATTTATGACAAGTCAACCGTCTGGCATCATTGCACTGGATCCTGTTTGTTCCTGTTGCAACTCATTTAAATATTGACATTCAAGCAGTAATTAAAGTGGGTGTTGTTCATTCAAAACACCTCTGTCTACATTCATATGAGTCAATAAGATGCACAGTCAACAACCAGAGAAACATTACGGGAATCAGGAGAGCTCGAGTCAAAATATGTCACCAAGCAATCACAAATTCTGCAATGAAAAGATACAGGTGTGATGTGAGGCAGTACACGGCACCTGTCACCATAACAGAGTCTGAAGCATGGTTTGTTCGTATCAAAAGAAATATGGCTGCTTATGAGGAAAAAAGAAAGAAAAATATCACAGGGGAAGCACAAAACTCTGATAATCTGAGGTGAGAGAAGTTTGACTTTATTCTAAATGAAGGGTGGCCAATGAGTTCCTTCATCACTGAAATAAAAATGGCTTCAAGGGCAATGGAGGACATGGGGACCAGACTGATATCCAGCAAAAATACAGCAAGATATCATTCTGCATTTGCCTTAGACTTTATGCTTAGCAGAATGAAAAAAATTATTAGTCATAGACGTTATTCATGTATCCCTCTAAAGTAAAAAAGAAACATTATAAATATATCGTTCCTTCTCTCATTTACTGAATATGACCCTGCACATGTGGAGGCAGACGAGGGGTTCAAGTTTAACTAAGAGTTCAAAGTTCATTGTCTTTAGTCCAGACCACGAGGAATATGAGGGCAAAGGTCAGAGTCCAGAGACTGGGAAGTGAAACAGCTGAACACACTGTCTCACTCTGGAGTCAGACACCAGAGTCAGGTGGAGCAGACCTTATGTTATGTAATCCCACAATCAATAATTTCCATACACTTGGATTTAATCATATTCAAAGTTTTGACTTGAAACCATTCCAGGATGGAGAAATTAATGGGAAAGTACAATATATATATATATTTTTTTAACAAATAGTAACATTCTCTTTTTAGAATTTAGACAGATTTTAGAATCAAAACTTTCTAAATAGTGTTTTGTTTTGGCCAGCACAAAGCACTGCATGTGGGCAACTAAACCAAAAAGCACACTGTTAAAAAGCTGCACTTTTCTGTATATAATTTCTGTGGTGGAAGGTTAGCCACCTGCTTGTCTGCATGAATATTACTGCTTTTCCTGGAATGTTCCACATAATGGCATTAACTTGATGTCACCTGCTTCTCTTCATGGAGTCAATTAAGTCAGACTCATGGACAGATGACCTTTCATAGTAAAAGTGTGCAGCCCATACCAGAAAAGTTACACTGTGTATGTAATGTCATTATTTTTTACATAACCCATTTCATGATTTTCAATGGCTTTTTTATACTGGAGTCTTTATACTGGAGTCTGGACCCAGAGAACAGAAGAGGACGGAACTGAATAGTGGTGTGTGGTCTGGGTCCAACTGAGGTTTATGTAACAGAGTGGCAGAACAGCACCTCTCTGATTTGAACAGGGATTATCTCTGCTCTCTCATCAGCAGCTCAGATACACTGCACCTCATTCACCTGTTTGTGAGCAGTCGTTACATAAGCTCACAAACAAACACACTGTCCTGAGGGCTGGGCAGGGGAAACTTTTGTATACCATTTAGTATCAACCACAGAAGACAAAAGTAATCTGTCAAATCTTTGCGGTTTGGTTACTGCAGTTATTACAGTTACACTGAGTTCAGATTTTGGAGGTGATGACTTTTTGTAGTGTGATATTCAAATAGAGGTTTCGATAGAGACAGAGATGTGACAGACAGGGTTTGCAGAAATGATGCAGAAATGCCCAAAAAATAAAATAATTCACAAGGGTCTACAGATAATAACTATTGATACTTTGGAGCTGATGTCATCAACATTTCCTGAGTGAGGGAAGCTAACTAAAAGCACTGCTCTGATAGACACTCTGTTACTCAAATTAGACGTAAGAGCTCTGAGCTTTGTTTTAACAAAGGGCATTGTGTCACCATGGTAACTACTGAGCATTCCACCAATATAGATACATGAAGCACACCCCCAGCATGATGCAAATTGTCAATATAGCAGCATAAAAGCATAATATAATGTCGTCTTTAAATATACCATTTAATTGATACAGGGCTACTGGCTCTTAACCACATCTAGGAGTGGGAGAATCTGAAAATAACCAATAATAATAACCAATAGTATTAACCAATAACAATAACCAATAATAAAAATAATAACAACAACAATGAACCCCACAAAGCTTGTATAAACCCTGCAGACTGACCTGTCGTATATGATTCCATCTATGCCTTTTTCTCTGAGTTTCCTCCTGTTCTCGTGGTCATTGTTGTCTTCTCCCCAACTGAAAACCACCAGGCCTTTAGACTGGGCCTCCTCGATGTAGTTCAAATGCTTCAGCAGCTCCTCTGTGTGAGCGCTGATTCCCTGAGGAAGAATAATCAGAAAGAAAAGTTAATGTTGTGGCTCAGTTAATGCGTAATGTAAACAAATTAGGTCTATAAGCATGATTTCAACCATGAACAAATAATAATAAATGGTTTGGTTCTGTTAACAGTTTTGTCCTCACAATTTTTTCTTTATTTTTGGAAGTACGGCTTGTCAGCGACTTGTCCCACTTGTTTAAAGATTAATTTTAAAGATTTTGTTGACTCTACTGCATACCGCATCAGCTTTGTCAAGTTGTTGTGCACAGTTTTGTATTATGTTTTTATATATTTTTTGGAGAATTGTCATGTGGGAGCATGGATGAAGTAGGCTTGTGGGTGGAGCGTTGAACAGAACCTTACTGCTAACCATAAGGAGGGTTTGAATATAGAGATCGCAAGATTACTCAAACATGGATGGATGACATGTAAAACCTCTTCAGACGTGGTTTTGATGAGGGAACGTTATAACATGGTAGAAAGCTCAAAAAATCTATTTGGCTTTTAATATAACAACTATAATAACAACTTTTTTTTTTTTTTTACTGTTAATATAGAGCAGATTTGTAAGAATATAAAGTGATATTCCTGCATTTGGTTCATTTTACATTTGATTTCATTTTTCTGATGGTTAGGCTGCTAAATTCTAAACGTAGCAATCATGTAAAGCAGTTTATAGAGTTGTTCCACAGCTCATATGTCGTTTTAGGGCAGGGCGCTCTCTCTGGACGCTTTGCATGCTTGTATGTCTTTCAATGAGGAAAACTCAATACAGGAAATGACCTGCTTTTTGCCTTTGTACACTTACCAGGATGTTCTCACCCTGGGCAAAGCTAATGGCGATCTGCGTGGTCTGGCAGCGTATGTCCATGAGTTCAGGGTAGCGCTCACAGATGCCCTGAGTCAGGAACAGAATCGGGTACTTGTTTTGTTTGTTTCGAACCCTGAAGGGAAATAAACAGAGGTTATTTGGGGTCAGAGAACATGTCGCTGCTAATTACATTCTTGGCAAGTCTGGTCTGTTATGAAACTGGGTATTATGAAACATGTTGATATAACATTACACACAAAATGTAATTGTTACAAACTTAAGTAATTTGTATTTCTGATTTTAAAGTGCACTATCTGACTTAAAGCTGCACTGTGTAACTTTTCATCTGCTTGTTTCCATGGGGATGTTGTTGCTTTGTCTTGCATGGAGGTGATTATGGTGCAACAAAAATATCTTGAATATGATGCATTTTTACAGTGAGAGTGGTTAGTCCACAGAGTTTAGCTGTAACTTGGTTAAGTGAAGTCACCTGCTTGTCTCTACGAAAGTTTAAATAACTTAATAACTTGTATCTATCTATATAGGGTCTGCAATAATGTACCCATGGAGACAAGCAATCTGACCCTATTCCAGAAAAGTTACATTGTACACCTTTAATGTTAGAATTTAAAAAACAAACCCTTGTAACACTTTACATTTTAATTAATGCACATAAGTAATAGTATTTGAGGTAATGCGTCTTGACTCACATGGTGCAAATATCTGGGTCAAATGAAGAGAACACTATACGTCTGTTTCCTCCTCTCTGCAGTACGCACGACAAAATGATGTCCAGAAAAGTGTTCATGTTAAAGTAGGTCAAGAGGTTAGCGTCCCATGACCCATCCTGTACATAATCAGATGAAAAAACATTCAAACAAAATCTCCAATTGTTTATTTTTTTTGATATATACATTTTTTGGGAATTTGTATTTAGCTGACAATACCAACCTTCATTTGGCAGATCCATTTCAGTTCAATGTTGAATCCCACATTTTCAGGCATGGCTTGAAATATCTACAACATAAAAATATAGTTAAGTCAAAAACATACCTGGAGTTGTGTTTTGTTTCATTCACACATGTTTGAATCATCTTTTATTATCAGTCTGTCTGCATCTTCAAACCTCAAAATACTCTGTTTCACTTTGAGATGTCATGTAATGGTAGTTTTCAAGTTCATAGCTTCTTCTACATTTTGTTCAGTAGAGATTGGCAATTCCAAGACTGAAATTATCCAAATGATTCTAGTGACGTGTTAGAAGTTTAAAAATGCAGTAAAAAATATGGGGTTTGCACACAAAAAAAGAAGAAGAAAAAGGGGTGGAAAGTTGAATCACTGTTCTATATGTTGTTTTAAATATTTGGTTAATTTAGTGTTGAAAAGACACAAAAAAATGGACATTTCTGTGATTTAGCAAGTCATAACAATCATAGTCACTTTGATTTCTAATTCAAAACTGAATCTTTGTTGAGACTTGTTATAGAATGTTTGTTGTTACGCGGCAACTGTTGTAACTGATAAGTCCAAAACTCCCTTCAGGGTAAAATAACGTTTATTCAATCCAGTGTTATTCTAAATGTTTTCAGTATCAACCTAAATGTGTTATCTAAGAGTGTTTACCTGTGACAGTGAAGGGAAGGGCTGGTGTTCATCTATTTCATCTTCGTCCTCCAGTTCTGAACAAAAACAAGACAAAAGCACTGAATCACCAGCTTGAAGTGAAACTAAACACTAAATCAATCACTATTAAACTGTACTTATGGTGTTTTAATAGCATCATCTACTGTTCCTAATGCTATTATTAGGGATGCACCGATATGATACCAGTATTGGATATCAGCCCCGATCCAGGCTTTAATGGATTGGATAACGGTTCCAAAATATCGGTTCAGTCGATATCCCATTTTGGTCTATAAACTGGTGTAAGACAGCTTACTGGACACTGTTTGCCCAAAACACCACATAATATTGATATTAGGGGTGTCAAATTATCGCGTTAATTGCGATTAATTAATTACAGTCATATTTAGCGCGTTATGTTTTTTAATCACGTTAATCTCATTTTTATTCTCTAACTTTACTGTTTCTGTATGCGAGTTGCTTTATTATAAAACCTGTTTTTATGTGTTGTTGGGACAACAACACACACACACAAAAAAAACACATTTATACATTTTTTTATTTCGGTAATTCCACTCATTGCCGGAAACCCACACAAAACGCGCGCAGTAAGAGCGATGTGAACGTCACGTTAACGTTGGCGGCGTCAGTCGCACAATGGACGAGGTCGAACAGCCAGTAGAACAGAGGCAGCAGTGCACAGGTAAAAACGCATTCGTGTCTTGGAAATTCTTCTCCCGACATGAAATATAAAAGAAAATAACAAATATAAAATCGCCTACAACTTAAATGTCACTGGTGAAAACAACCTGCATAGGCTCATGAAGTCTGCACTACTGTCCTATAGTGACCTGCCACATGAGAGGACACGCACACAAACACACACACACAAACACACAAATACACACAAACACAAATACACACAAACACAAATATACACAAACACAAACACACACAAACACACACAAATACACACAAATACACACAAACACAAACAAACACAAACACAAACACCTTCATCATCGTCATTAACCTGAGAACGCACGGACCACGTTTCCTTCTGTAGTTACTGCGCGGACACCGCTGTCCTCCCGTGAGCCGCGTGTGGATCGTGTTTTCTCGCGTACGCGGCGTAAACCGCGCTTCCTCCTGTGCGCCTCTAAACCAGAACTAACACCAAGACTAAAATCAGGACTTAACCAGTCCAGGACTAAACCAGGTCTAAACCAGGACTAAACCAGAACTAAAACCAGAACTAAAACCAGGTCTAAACCAGGTCTAAACCAGGACTAAACCAGAACTAAAACCAGGACTAAAACCAGGACTAAAACCAGGACTAAAAAAAGGACTAAAACCAGGACTAAACCAGGACTAAACCAGAACTAAAACCAGAACTAAAACCAGAACTAAAACCAGGTCTAAACCAGGACTAAACCAGGACCAAACCAGAACACCAGGACTAAAACCAGGATTAATTCATTCCAGGACTAAACTAGGACTAAACTAGGACTAAAGTAGGACTAAAGTAGGACTAAAGCAGGTCTAAACCAGGACTAAAACAAGGACTAAAACCAGTGATCTCATATATAAAGCATTTCTCTATCAATAATATTTTTAATATGGTTAAGGAAAGACTGGACTTTTTATTGTCTTTAAGTAGACAAAAGTTATTATGTTCAGATTTCCTCGTCTTTGCTACTTTACAGTAAACAGTTTCTTATTCATGGAGACTTGGGCTCAACAGCCGATTTGGGGAGATTTGTTAAACAATAAATGACTTTATAAAGTCACTTTTTTTGTTCTATATCAGTCTTTTGATCTGCCACAATAATGTAATAATGAATTTAAATGAAAATACCTCAAATTGAAGGCTTTTCTCAGCAATTTTTAGGTGAGATTAAAATGAGATTAATTAGATTAATTAATTACAGATCATAATTAATTAATCTCTCAATTTTTTTAATCGCATGACAGCACTAATTGATATAACAAGTTATTATTTAATTTTTACCTGTTCTGTAGTTATTTTAAAGGATTAACAGTTACAAAACACATTTGAATATTTTTTTACCATACATAGGAAATAAGATATATTTTCAGTCCCTACACTGGGATCATTGGATAGCGGGTATCAGGGGATATTTAAAACATCGACATTGGTACTGGAACTGAAAAAGCTGGATCATTGCATCCTTAGCTTTATTGGGCAATTTCAGAGCATACTAGGTACATTTGCAGCTTTTTGTTTAAAAAAGTGTGTGCTGCCTCCTGGGGCCACTGCAATTTAAGTATAAGTACTTGGTGACATCACTCACCTCTCATTACAAACATCTGGCTTTTTGAAGTGTGGATACCAGTTAAACCAATCACACTGTTTTATACTTCCAGATCCTGCCCCTCCTCTCCCCTCACTCTTTCCTTTAGTCCTCCAGGTACTACCCAGTTTAGCAGCTCTGTTTGCAATGTGGAGTTTAGGTGTTTAGTCCCACCTTAAATGACCCATTAAATTGAATTAACAACAAAAACCCAAACATCCTTTACAACTTAAATGGCCAGTGAAACAGATGGTACATACCTCGGTGGTCAGTTCCGTTCATGGCAGCAACATGAGCCAGCTGTGCAAATAAACAAACCAGGTTATAATGAAAAATCAGGATAAAACTGTTTTATACAGATGTGTTTGACTATTTAAACCTTTTTATATCTACACTCTTTTCATTGAATTCCACATAGATTCTTGTATTGTATATATCATTTTGTTTTAATTTAGACTTACTTGGCCAACAAGGGAAATTATATGGATAATAATGAAGAGCAGTAATATTCTGGACTAGCACTTAGAATTAGCACTTTGAAATACAGTGTAAATGAAGTGTGTTCCCCAAATAAACATGCCTTGAATATTATGAAGTTATGAATTATGAGCTACTGTAAAAGTTTAAAATTTAAAATGTAAAAAAAATCACCTTTAGAAGCTGAAGTTGGTCAAAAGTCAAATCTTTAACTGGCACCTCAATAAGCTCCAGAGTCTTGTCGTTTTTCTGTAAAAACACACACAATAATTATCGACCAACTGAAAAGACAGCAAAATAAACATTGCCAGTTATGTATTTTACTATAGAACTTAGCAACATTGCATTATACATTTTCTTTACATTTAAGTTTCATTTAATTTTTTTCCATTTATTTATTTATTTCAAGCAGATTAATGAACACATGAAGTATACATGTATCTAGTACACTTAATGTACATTTTACACATAGTATATGTATATTCTTTTTTATTGGAGCTCAAAAATTAAAACTAAACATAAATGTGAACTTCTATATCTACTAGTTCAACAGTGCAAAATTCTAAACCTTGCGAAAACATTTATCAAAAAACACATTTTTACTTAAGTCTCTGAAAACGTAAAAGCAATACATTTCAAAGTGAGGAAAAATTTGCCACAGCAATTGTTGCATAAAAAAATATATAATATGAGAAGGCAAATGGCCCATAACAGGAAGAGTCTGTGGTTGAAAGTGAAACTCATGAATTGTTATTGCATTACAATGGCATTGTGAACATTGAATTAGGTTAGATTACTGCACACCCACTAGGGCTGCTCAACATTGGAAAAGACTGTGATATGTAATATGGCTTTTAAAGGGTCATTTCCTGATCTATGTTAGAATGTTGTTTCCTCATCACGAACATACCTGGAGTTGAATTTTATTTGATTTGCACGTTTAACTCACAGACCCTTGCATATTTACTTCTTCTTTCAAATACTCTTTTCAACCTTGTGATGTCATGCAGTAATACAAAAAGTGCTCCTCTGCGTTTTTAAACTCTCTACACCATCAGAATCATTTGGGTAATTTCAGCCCTGGAATTGCCAATCTCTGCTGAAATAAAAATAAAAGGTAGCCGATAACTTCAAAACTACTACTACATGACATCACAAGGTGAAACAGAGCATTTTGCATTTTTAGAGATGTACAAAACCAATAATAAAGAATTAAAAACATGAGAATCAAACAAATCACAACTCCAGGTATGTTTTTAAGGAGGTCAAACATTTTAACATGACTTGACGCTCTCAAGAATCAATTTTGTGTAATATCGGACTTTTAAAAACTCAATTGCATCTAAAATCCAATGAAAACAGACGAACATTGGTGCATTATATAAAGCAATATTTATTATAGTCACAGCCAGTTTTGTGATTTGTGGAGCCCTATAAACCAAATAAAAACCTACCTTCTTCTTAGTTGCGATGCAGCAGGTCAGATCATGGTACACTACGGGGACAGCATCTTTAGAAAGGTGAACATCAAATTCTACATAAGCAGCTCCCTACGAAAACGCAAAAGATTATAAGATTTAAATACAAGCTTTAAAGTTTAAGCTCAGGGCATCTGTGTCTTATTCATGTAAAACTCACATTCTTGGCAGCACTTTTGAATGAAGCAATTGTGTTCTCCCTGATTCTGTGATGTCTGAAACAAAGAGACAAAAGCATAGCTTAAGTATAGGGCTGTATTAGGTCTTTTACAGTCAACTGATATTAGAGCTGCCTTTTTTCTGACAAGTATTGCAACTGCTCTTAGATTTGAGATTTCTGTTTTAATAATAGAATTCTGTTCAAAGTTCCCATTTTAAACTCATCCAGAAGAATTGACAAAAATACTGAAATGTGAACTGACAAAGTAATACAAGAATCAGATTTCAGAAGATGTTTGTGCAGATTTAAACTACAGGTACAGTATTTGTAAGGCATTCAGTATAGCAGCTTTGTGGCTTGCTAAGAACACATTTTAGTTCAGATCTATCAGTAGTAATAATTCTCGTAAATATTTAATAGGATATACTACTGATAAAACTAATGAGTAAAAGGTGACTCACTTGTCTGAGTGGGTGCTGCCTGCTCCTCTGTGCCCCACATCTAAAGTGCTTCTCTTCTTCCAGTATTTTGCAAACGAAGAGCTCATGTCACACTGAAGACCACGGATCGGGCGGATCACCAAAAAATCCACTGGGAACAAAGCAACAAAAAATTCACATTTACTTTTTGATATGGCTACTCAACAATCACCTCCTCTAATCTTTAAAATCCAGTTCTGGTAAAATCTATAGAGAGGAGTTGTAGTATTCAAAAGTTAAGTTCCTGTGTATAGCCAACATTTTGAGGACTTGTGACCATTTAAAAGATAAAATATTGTGTTTAAAATGAATAAATGGAGCTCAACAGTGACCACCTACTGGCTGCTAATCAGCTACGTGTTATCTAATGACCACAGGAACTTTAATTTGATTTAAAAGCAATTTCTGAAACTCAAAGTTATTAAAGCATTTGGCAGATCTTGCATGTTAAATCACCCTTCTGGACTTAAAACATTCACCTTACAGATTGATTGATGGCATTTATATAGCGCCTTTCAAGATACCCAAAGTTACAGTTCATTATTCAGTCACTCCACACTCAGTAGTGGTAAGCTACTACTGTAGCCACAGCTGCCCTAGGGCAGACTGGCGGAAGCGAGGCTGCCAATCTGCGCCATCGGCCCCTCCAACCACCACCATCACTCAGGCTCACACCAATTTCATACTAGGCAATGTGGGTGAAGTGTCTTGCCTAAGGACACAACAACAGTTTTTGTTTTTGTTTTTTTTTGTTTTTTGCCACTGGCGCCCCACTGTGGCACCTGGAATTCCTAGTGGTCTCCCATCCAAGTACTACCCAGGCCCAGCCTGCTTAGCTTCTGAGATCTGACGGGATCAGGCTTTTACAAGCCGGTATGGCCAGATATTAGTTAGCACATAGCAGGTTAGCCTCTGCAATGTCTTTGAGATCTCTCTGGGAAAAAAAAAAGGTATTTCTGGAAGTGGAGCAAGCGATCACTGACTATGGCAACAGTGCTAAGCTTTCAACACTCCTCCAAAACCAGGGGTCTCAGACTCGCGGCCCGGGGGCCAACTGCGGCCCGCGGAAGGATTTTTTGCGGCCCTCCACTTGATTCCAAAGAATAATGTCAGTGCGGCCCGCGGTAGATGTACACACAATCCCAACCCCCTACCGCGGGCCGCACTGACAGATGAAGCTGCAATCGGTGCCCATGCAGATTCACAACAGATTATTAACGCAGTTTACATCCCAAAACTCAATTTACAGCAGTTGTGAAGCAACGAGTCTAAGTGGATCTGTTAATACAAGTACACGTGCACATACGGCGTCACCGAAGAACCAAAACAAACCACACATGGTGGTACACGTGTGCGCACTTCACTTTACGCTCCCACAACCACAGCATCAGAGCGCAGAGGAGGCGCTGACACAATTCCCCTGTTCATAAGTATGGGACCTTTATTGAAGGGGCTCATAAGAAATAAAAAGACTTTTACAGTCTGTTTACCTGCTCAACACTCGGTGCGTAACTTGCTGGCAACCCGATGACCAGGCTCCACCTGTGCGTCGCCGAAATCCACGCGCACTCAGCGGCAAACAGCTGTCCCATCAATATGCAAGCACCACAAAACTGCAGTGATCTATTCCAGAGGCTTGGCGACATGTTAGCAAAAAGTACGAGGCAAAAACAAGCGTCTTCCATCCATGTTTGACATACGAGAAGCAGATACACTCCAGTGTGGCGCTTTCACACCGGCAAACGAACCAAAACTGGTCCGATTAACGAGCCTCTGTATCCCGGTAGGACAACGATACCTCCAGTAACCAATACTGATGTTCCCTGTTAATACCGCGGGCGTCCTCATCTCAAATTATCACCACGAACTCATAAAACAGCAACGCAGAACTTTCTACAAACTCACCGCATCAGTTCTGAGTTCGGGTAACAGCAGAAGCCAACAGCGTTCAGCGTAGCGCGCAGCTCCTCAGGACGGCGCTGGAGTCTGGTCCTTGGTCTTCTGTCGTCCTACAAGCGCGTTGGTCAGATGGTCCGGAGGCTCTGTCCTCCATGTGCTGGTTCCAGACGGTGGCGAACAAGACCAGTGCGCAATGACTGGGTCTGAGCGGGTACGTTCCGCCGTCTGCGCGCTGGTTCCGTGTTCCGTGCGGGGAAAGTGAGAATGCGCTGTGGACTACAGGTCTGTGCTGCTCCTGTCCTCCGCGCTCAAGAACCGCGGCTGGTTCCGAGGTGGTGCAAAGCATCCGGACAGAACGTGAATCCAGTTTAGTTGGTGTCCGCATTTGGTTCTTCCCGGGAAAAGCGCTTTTCACTCCCCGCTCCACGTCATCTGAGCCCGGACAGAACCGGAGCTGCTCCCGCTGGTTCGGGACTCCGGTTTGGATCTAGTCCGACTGTATTTCTCACACACTAGGCTAAAAGCAGGACATTTTTAAAGGTGAATCAATTGAATGGGCGATTGCCTATTGCCATAAAATTATTTGATTAATTAAAGCCTAAAATAACAAATGCTGGTTCCTACATGATCACAGGGAACAAAGGGACCTCTGTAGGTCCTGAACAGAAGTACACACCCCCATTTTTGACTCACTCTGGAGCCACACGTTCGCACGTTCTTGCTCTGATCTTCGTGTATTACATTCTCTGTATTGGCCATTGTTGGTAAAATATTTCGAAAATGAATCGCGGCTGCGTCTGGACAATCTGTTACTGCGCTGGAGTCGTACAGCGCGTCATTACAGGCAGGAGACGCGTTTCTCCCATGATGCATCTAGAATAGTTCGTTTGGACCTGCTGTCTGTGGTTTGGACCCGGGTTCGCGTTCACACCAGAAGAACCGCACCAAAGTTGGTCATTTGGTGCGGATTCAAGCGAACCGAGACCACCTCTTTTTTGAGGTTTCGGTCCACTTGAGTTGGTCCGGGTCAGAGTCCGATTGACGCTTTCACACCAACGCAAACGAACCGAGCTAACCACTTCTGGTTCGAATGGACCATTTGGTGCGCACCAAATACTGTCGGTGTGAAAGCACCTAATACAGGTCAAGGCTCACTGATGAGCATCTTCAATCTATCCTGAGGATCTGCTTCCTCCTGCAAGCCAAATATCTCTCAGCTGTACAAGATGAATCGTAGCCAGGTTTCAACCAGCAAGGAGTAGGCAAAAGAAGAAGAGTAGACGTATTAGTTTAAACTTACGTTCTGAATACATTTTCATGTTCTGAACTGTTATTAAAGATTAAGAAAGTGTGTTGCGTGTTGTTCTTTCTCTCTCCTCTTTTCCCGTGCAACCGCTATTTATCGAATACTCAATGCGGCCCAGCCTCACTCAGACTTTATCTAATGTGGCCCCCAGGTAATTTGAGTTTGAGACCCCTGTCCAAAACCAATGGACCAAAGGACACTTTTAATATTTTATCCGTCTCTTTTATCATTCAGGAGATATGATTTTGTTTTGATGTGTCATTTGCTATGGCAACAGTCTAATTTGTGAAAGCTCACCTTTAACCTTCCCAATGGTCTGTCTGGAGTTTCGTCCCATGATGGGGAGGGTCACGACCCCGATGTCTTTCCCACTCTCCAGAAATAAGGAGGAGAGGAGACAGGCCGTGCCCACATATCCAGGGTGCACATCTCCCTGTACCACATGTTCACTCAGATCCTCCTCAAAAAACTCAAACGTGAGTTCCAGATTATCGGGGTCCATGGTGTGGATGCTGTATTCTGTCCAGCGGGAGGGCTCCAGGGCGTAGCCACAATCAGGCTGAGAGTGGCGAGACTTATAGCCTTCAGCACTAATCATGCTAATGCCCAAAATGGTGGTCATTTTGTGCCATGACGCTGCGCTGTGCTCCTCCTCTGCCTCATCTTCCTCCTCCTCAATGCCCTCCAGAGTCAGCTTAATCCTGGGGAGGTAACAGACAGATTGGATTGGCTTGACAAATATAAAAAGAAAATTATCTATAGCAGTAGTTCTAAAACTTTTCACATCAAGTACCCACAAAAAAGTCTTTGTTCTTCAGAGTACCGCCAAATTTAAACCACTTCTGCAACAGAAGTACTCTAAATCTTAACTTGGACTAAACCAGGTCTAAAACAGGACTACACAATGACTATGCTAGTTCTAATTGGATTCACCTAAAGAAGTGAAAAAAAGTGAATTACATTGAAATATTTAACAGCATGGGAATCTGTATACTACCGATAGACTGTATAAAATAAAACCCCACAATCTTATAGAGCAGGTTAATACAAACATTTTAAGACCAAAATGGCGAGACTCACTGCCAGACAGATGACAAATTTTCAGTGTTAAGTCAATTGAAGCCAGAATCGATTGAACCAGAAGCGCTCCCATGCTCACTTCCTATTTGCAATGCGGTGGCTATGCGGGTTAGCTATGTCCATTTAAATATACAGTCTATGATACCGTGTATGTGTATTTGCAATGACTTTGACATTTACTGAAGTGTAGCCAGCCTCTTAGGAGCTGGACTGATAATTAATATTATTCAAACACAGAAATGAAACAAAACATGTGGTCAACCAGAGAGAACGCTAATAAATACCAGCACAAACTTTCAATTCTGCAATCAATGAGGACTTATATTATAATGTAGATAGCACTGTTTATGTGTTTTTTGTTTTGCTTTCAAATTTCTGCTAAGCAATATCTTTATGTGAAACTTTACTGAACTACAAGAAAGAAAGGACTGGTACAGAATCTTTAAAGAGGGGGTATTTTACTAGCCTGATTCATCAGCCAGTTTCACTTTCAATTCATCAAACCGTCTGACCTCGCAGCATTAGAATTAGTTTGCTTGACGGTAGGTGGGTAATTTGTTTTTAATTTAACCAATTGCTGCTATTTGGTCGTGACGTATGTAAGGCGCCACTAACAGGGCTAACTGGTATATTAAGATTTTCCCAAATCCCATAGGAAGAAGGACAATAACTAGAGGTGTAATGATATCCAAGTCTCACGATACGATATCATCACAGTATGAACCTCACGGTACAATATTTATTGCGATGTTTTGTAGAGGCTAACAAAACGGTTAATATGCTACTTTTTCACTTAAAATGCCTTGACAAGACATAATCCAAAGAACCAAGATTTAAAAGTGCTTAGAACTGTTATTTCTTCATGTAATCTGAACTGAAATGGAGCAAAGGATCATGGTTTGTGTAGTTCTCTGTCTTTTTTTTTAGCTATTGCTGCACCATAACTCTTAATTTAATCAAAGAAACTTGTAATTCGATATATTGTGATGGTCCACGATATTGTGAGAACTTTGACGATACGGTATCACGATATTTCGGTTATTGTTACATTCTTACTGCTAACACATAACATATTTAGATCACCATGTTACCTATTATTGCTTTGAAAATGCAGAAAACAAAACATTTTTGATGCTCTGCGTTTCCCCTCTCCTTGCTCTCCAGGCTAAGTCACTCCCCCTTCAGAGCGCCATTGCAACACAATCAACACACACCCCGCTAATGAAACTACTGCACATCGTATCAGGTTTGTCAAGTTGCTGCGTACAGTTTTGTATCATGTTTTTGAATATTTATGGAGAATTATCGTGTGGGAGATTTGTGCTCTGAGCATTGCACAGAATCTTACAGCAAACCGTAAGTAGGGTTTTAAATAGGGCCAGGAGAGATCACTAAATTACTCAAACATTCATGGATGACAGCTAAAACCTCTTCAGGCATGTTTTTGATGAGGGAATGCTGTTATAACATGGTAGAAAGCAAAAAAATTTAAATAAATCTGCATAACATCCTTTCTTTAAACTGCTTTTTCAAAACTACAAAGAAAAACAACTGAAGTCCACTTCTTAAATATCAAGCTTGATGTCACCTCCTCATTGCAGTTCAATAATGTAAGCCGGATTTAAATTGCACACAAGTAACAGATACAGGAGATACAGTAGCCAGCAAATACCACTTTCGAGTTGAACTTTCACTGCCTTGGTGTTCTATTTCTGCCCCTTGCGTTCTCGCTCACCTGAATCTGGACTTCTTGAATTTCTTCTTGGTGATGGAAACTGGAGGAGTCTTGGAATAGTGCAGACGAAGGCGGATCTCAGTCTGACACGTGAGCCAACCCGAGTCCACACAACAAACTCCATCTTCAGAAACAAACAGAAAAAAGCAGGAAGTGAGAGCTGCCACAGAGAACCAGGCCAGTCACTAGTATAATATATTGCTTATGTAAATAAGTCAAGAGTAGCTTTAGACAACAAAAAATATTCAGTGTCTATGTATCTATGTGTAATATGGTTAAAAAACACAAACTGTACAATGAAACCCTTTTTATTAACATATTTAATATCAATAATGCGTTTTTGTGAAACAGAATTGACAAAAAGGCTAAAAATCACCTATTTTATGACGTGAAGACAAATAAGAATGAAAATATAAAGAGCTTTGTCTGTTTGAAAGAGCAGCAGTCCCTCCTCTGACTTTGATTACAATCAATTAAAATCATAATGGCCATCTCACCCAGCCCTAATCAATGCGTTCTGTAATTAGAATGGGTAAAAATACTTGTGTCACATAGCAAGAGAATGGCATCTATAACAAATGTGACATTTGATAGATCATTTTCTGGTCTGGTACGCCTCTAAGTTACTGCTTTGCCTAGAATGTTCCACAATATAGAATTAAACTTGCATTAAACAAACAATTAATTGACAATGCTTTCATTGCTCAAAAAACACTGTGGATTCTTGGTATTTACAAGCAATACTTGCTTTCTGTTATATGCAACATTTTGATGACTTTATCCCACTCAAAACATATATTTTGTTGTGAATTGTTAATCGCTATCACAAAGGTCTTAATTTTTTACCACTCTGAAACCCAATGGATGAATACAGCAAACAATTTCCCACAATTGTTCAACTTTTCATGATCCAACTGACAAACTGAAAAACTCGAATTTTACATTGTCCTACCCAAACACAATCAATCTATACAATATATAGTCTTTGTCTGCAGTGAATACTGAGCAGACAATCGCAGCATTGACAAAAGCAGAGGAGGGAGGCAACCCCTGTGAAAGAACAGCCTCATATGCAGTATGCTGCAGAGTGAACATGACTAAGCAGAAAACTAGATAATAGAGTCAGACTTACTGTGAATTCCAAATTGGCCGTCATCAATGTTCAAAAGGGAAGCTGAAACAAAGAGAAAAAGATTAATGGAAGAAACAGCATTTAATGAGAGGTAAATAAGCCGTCCCATATAAGCTCTATCATTTGAGAGTTATAAATAGAGAAAAAAAACTCTATGTCTTCCATTACAAAATACAGTAATTCCAGCATGTCTTCACACAATTAGCAATACACTACAGAATACTAAATTATGCTTAGATATATTTACATTTTGTGACAGTTTTGTGACAGTTATAGGTGCATTGTGTAACATTTCTGATGGAGGGTCCATGTTTCACAATATGGTATTAAACCTTTCTATCTTCATGGAGACCAAACCAGACCAAGTTACAGGTCAGATCTGTGAAGAGGTGACCCCACTCACAGTCAGAATGCCTGTTTTTTAGGTATTTTTGACCTATAAAATCACTTGTAATTTAATATATGTAAGGTAGAGCTGTGTAATGCCATACTGTGGAACATTCCAGACAAAGCAATTACATCTCCATGGAGAAATTTACCAGAAAAGATACACAATGCACCTTTAATAAAGAGCAGTCCAAATGTCAGGGTTATTGGGCATTGCTATTTGTATTGACCAAACAAAAACACTTTAAATTATGCTTTTTTTTTGTCTTAAAGAGTTCAACAAAAAGCAATAAATAATATGAATAAGTGCAGGTTGAGCTGAATTTTAACAAGCAGCAAGACGTATGACAGTGGCTTTGTTTACATGCACATTAAAATCAAATTATTATCAGATTTCTAGAGTGTTAAGATTAGTTAAACAACAAAATATGATTAATTCAAATACTCTCCACATTTTAGTCTTACAACTGAAAAATGTAATAATCACATTTTGCGTGTGCATGTAACAGCGGCCAATGTTACACTGAACGCGCTCTTTAAACAACAAACAGTGCTGTTGAGGGAAACATGTGAACATAAACCTATTGACATAAACCATTAGTGGGTGAAGCTAAATATTAAGGTAATGTTTGTCAGTTTTAGTGGGACATGTCTGGGCCGAAAAGAGGGAGGAGGATGAGTAAAACACACATATTCCAAACCCAGATACACAAACATTCAGTAGGTTCTGTATATATTAACATACCACACAGACAATATCACTTTTTTGTTGTGGGAAGTAAATGTTTTCTTGAAAATGAAGAGCTAACTAAATTTGACTGGAGGTTATTCGTCTTTACATGTGTCCCATTTCTCAAAACCTTGACTTCATTTTAAAACATTGCTTATTTTAAAGACAAGTTTTCTATAGTATTTAGAGTTTAATTGTCAAAGACTTGGGGGGTATTCCATATATCAAGCTAAAGCGAAAGCCTAGCTTACTTGGCCAATGCAGACTTGTCAAACCTCAGTTCCATTCCATCAAAGTGACTAATCAGAGGAGATGCAGTAACATGCACCCGGAAACAAACCTGGTTGAGACAAGGCTAACTGAAAAGATTATTTCAGCTTTGTCTCCAAGAACGTCTAAATAAACAATTTACTCAAAAGTTTCAGCATGTGCATCACACACCTGTGTCAGAACACCTGTCTCTGTCTGATACTGTTGAAAAAGTGACTTTTATAATCGCATGTCGCTTGAGACTTATCCATCTTAAAAATCTTAACCAGATTATTAGAGTTTATGGGAAATAGTGTTCTAAGGCTACATTCAGACTGCAGGGCTTTAACGCTCAATTCCGATTTTTTTGTGAAACCCGATGTTTTTGCAAGGTCGTTCACATTTCCAATTAAATGCGAATTGTATGTGATCCCCTGTGTGAACGTTAAACGGCCCGAAAGTGTCTCGCATACGCACTGGAGACACGATGACGTCAACCGCAGCGAGCGTGCTCTGTGTTTATGGAAATTGTCCAAACATGGACGCGAGCATTGAGCACTTGGCGATTTTAAAGTTCCTCTTGTACTGGAGCCAGAACATGAACAACTTACTTGTTTTAAAGAGGAGATTGAGAAGGAGAAGGACAAGGTTTTTGGCCATGGTGTTTTGTGGGGCAGCGGCAGCGACGTCCGTTGAAAGGAACGTGTGGATGTAGAGATGTAGCCAAGAGTGGTGATGTGCTTCAATTCATTGACACTGAGTTCATTAACAATTTTTGCCTACTTCAGCGCAGAATAGTGATGTTTGTGGCTTGTTGATAACATGTAGGTCGGATTCATGCGCTTTGACCGTTCACACTGAAGTCGCATGTCAAAAGATCAGATATGTATCGGTTTCAGGACCACATTTCGAAGTGACCTGGGTCACACTTGAAAAAATCAGATCTGAGTCGTTCAGACTGTCATTACAAGATCAGATACAGGTCACACAGGGACCAAAAAATCGGATTTGGGTCACTTCAGGCTGCAGTCTGAACACTCCATATGCTCCAATGCACAGGACACACATGTGTGGACACGGACACAAACCATATAAAAAGTTACGGCCATTATTTAATTCAAATGATGTTGCACCCGTGTCTGTTGTGAGGGGCAGTGGAGCTTTTCCACACATACAGACGCAGGTTTGAACTCTGAGGATGACAGTGAGTTCTGTCTGTTCGCTCCTTCATCACGTCTGTCTCTCTTTCTTCATTCTCTCGTCTCTTGCTTCCTGTCACTGCAAACAGCTTTGCACGGATTTTATCGTTTTTTGTTAGGCTATATGTGAAGAGGTCCGTTACAGCTTTACTTTTATGCATGTCATTGCTCCATTGCTCTGGCCTTCCCAGAGTCACCGCGAGCACACACAAAGTGCACCTTAAATTCCCGGCCTGAATTACCTTTGGTCAGAATCAAGCCTAGTTCTGTCATGGAAAGATTTGAGGCTTAAACTGGAGATAGAGCTAGAATCATTTTAGGATTTCAAGATAAACCTAGACTTGTTAAGTGAGTTTGATGGAACACCCCCTTGGTGTATGATCAATATTTTCATAATTACAGGGCGTATCCACATAAAATCAAAATTAAATGTATCCGTCACCATAAATAGGCCACTCTCTTCTGTGTTTTTCAGTAATACACATGATGACTTTAAACAATAGAAAAAGCATTAGTGCACTGAGTCACAAGATTAACACACTGTTTTCAATGTGCCACTGCACATTGGCATCCACTGATCAGGGTCCCCAATTGTGTGTTTCATGTTTGGATAATTATAATGAATACAGAAAAGGTCTGTTTACAGAATGATAATGAGAGGTTAAATGAGAAATGGGACATAGCCTTAGGTGAAATAAAAACTACATTACATTTTTAGATACATACATAGTACACCCTTAAGGGAACAAATTAGGATTTTCAAAAGTATCGAAAATCAGACACTAACTGATACTAAAACTGGTATCAAAACTAGATACTCATTAAAGCAAGAATCGATACTGAAAAAAATAAAATCACACAACTGGATCAAATTTGACCTTTCCTGAAGAGTTTCATCAGAACGAGTGTACTACTAGTGTAACTTTAAGTCTAAAAAAAATGTAACTTTTTGGTTGTGGATCCATCACCTGCTTGTTTCTATGGATATACCATTTCTCTGCCTGGAATGTTCCACAAAAGGGCATTAAATAACTCCACCTTACATTTATTTACTTACAGGTGGTTTTATAGCTCAAAAATACCAAGAAAAACAGACATTCTGACTGTGAGTGGGGTCAACACTCCACAGATCTGACCTGTAACTTAGTCTGGTTTGGTCTCCATGAGCATAAAAGATTTAATGCCATACTGTGAAACATTCAGGCCAAAGCAATAACATCTCCATGGAGAAAGCATTTGAAGAACCCTCAAGCAGGAAAGTTACACAACTTTAAATTTATCTTAATCAAAATCTGTACAGAGTTTACTCTTCAATGTGAAAATTGAGTTTGACATTTCAGTATCGTGACAACACTCGTGCAAATGGGAGGGAAGTAGAGTCTGGTAAACACTGTCAAACCAAACCACAAAGTGCAGTCTCAGCATTAGATCTTGTTCCATCAGCTGTAGTAGTATTGTAGCAGTAGTTTTTGTAGTAGTATTGTAGTCATAGTTTTTGTAGTATTTGTTTTGTAATTACAGTTGTAATGATAGTTGTATACCTGTAGGGGTCATGGTGCGTGGGTGGAGGTGCGTCTCCCACACATTGACTATGACTTGACATGGGCCACCTGCATTCTGCAAGGCCAATGTTTAGTGTTAGGGTTTTCAAATCAGAACACATTTTACTAGGCGACAAGTTCAGACTGGTCCCAAACTGGTCTTTTATGCTTTTAGGAGTGAGTGAGAAAGATATTAGAGCTGGTAGAGTCACCAATCCCCCACCAGTCGCCCGGGGTGAGATCTGAAAAGTGGATCATTAGTCAAGAAGAGACTGCTTACAGGGATTTTCTTTTTTTTTTTTTCCTTTTTTGAAATTGCAAGAAACTAAAATGAAGAACTGTACATAAATACTTGCTCTAGTCTGCAGAGAACTAAAATTTTGGTCCAATATTATGTTAAACTGACTCGTGAGCTTTGAGCCACGTAAGAATGTTGTTGCCTCCTCAGAAACATACCTGGAGTTGTGTTTTGTTTCACACACAGAGTAATCCAGTATTATCCAAAGCTTAAAATGCTGTTACACCTTGTGATGTCATAAAGCAAGTTAACTGCTTAGTTCAGTTACCTTTAGTTCAGTAGAGTGTGGCAACAGCAGAACTGAAATTATCCAAATGATTCCAGTAAAGGTGTATGGAGTTTAAAACCATAGTAGAGTTTCCTGTATTACCACATGACATCACAAGGTGGAGCAGAGTGTTTCCAAATAATTTCCCTTGTGGATTAATAAAGTTTGTCTAAGTCTAAGTCTAGTTTGAGAGGAGAGTACAGCCTACATATGAGGATTTGCGTGTTAAATGTGTAAAAGAAACAAAAGAGCACTAAGTATGTTTTTGATGAAGAAACAACATTATAACACAGATGATAATATGGCATAATATGGGCTCTTTAACGGTGCACTATGTAACATGGAGATAGATAACCATTACTGTGAAAAATTCTTAGCAAAGCAACACATATGTATTGAGAAGGCTGATGATCCCTCCACCAGAAAAGTTACATAGTGGACCTTTAATGTCAAAGTGCTAGAAAAGAGAAAACTTGCCAATAGGGGTGGGCGATATATCGATATTTTAAATATATAGTTTTTAAACTCGATATGAATTCTGACATATCGTATATATCGATATAATGCTTATATTAAATTTAGAATTCGCCGCTTCGCTTGTTTACCTTCTCTCTCGTCACCTCCGCTCGCTCCCGCCTCCCTGATTTTGTTCGATCATGTCTCCTTCACTCCTCACTATCGCCTTGAACGCCGAAAGTTGGTGCCAGTGAAAAGCTTCAAGCACCACAAACCTTTTCAACCATTTACAGACAAGACCATCAGCAGCACATCCTCATATTCCACCGAGTCGCGTCCTTTAGCCCGAAAGAAACTAAACGAGCTGAGAAGTTCGCTGTTTATGCAAATGAGCCATGCGCTTAAGTTTCGTTTCTGTAAAATGTAAACACACGTGCGCAAAACTGCATTAAACACATTATAATGTCAAAATGGCTGATGTGGCTCTAGAGTCGTTGTGCTTTATATATTGTAAAGTTTAGTAATGTAAAGTTTATTTATGGAGAAGATTTTAATGAATAATCTGCTGCAGTGTCACTTGTACAATAGTGTTTGGAAACGTTGGGTTTGATCTGCAGTGGATTGTGGGAAACCTCAGAACTCCTTACTGCTGGAACATGGATCTATTAAAATAAGGAACATCCTGAGTTTCTTCTGGTGAAGGAGCTCATGGTTCTGGTTCTGGTCGGGATAACAGAGTTAATGCAAAGATGAGCTTGTCTTGAGTTGTTTTATCTATGAATGAAAAGAAGGAAATATGTATTACTGCCGACCTCTTACACTTCAATAAAAAAAAAGGACCTTGTGGAATTTGGCAGATTTGTTTTTGCAGTTTTCAGTTTTAGGGGATTATTTTTTCTTGAACATATATCGAGATATATATCGTATATCAAGATATTGCAAAATATATCGAGATATATTTTTTGATCCATATCGCCCAGCCCTACTTGCCAAACTAGTACACAAATAACTGATATTATACTGTATATAGAAACATATATTTCCCTCTTGGATCTAATCATTTGTTGTTGTTTTTTAAAGTCAAAGTTAGTTACAAAATGATCAAAAAGAGGAAATAGCTGAAAACTAGCCAAACAAGAAAGTCATGCCCAATACCTAATCCAACCCTTTAGCTTTACACTTTAAAACTATGGTAACCTTTGACCCTACCCTAGATAAACAGCAGCAGACACGTACATGTGAAGTGGTGTATTATATAAAGCTATTTTTGCCACTTTAATTATGTGTGTTATCGGGAAGTTATAAACATTTTTTCTATGGTGTGACTGTGAAATGTCAACAAGTGATGATGACTCTTGCAATAGTCATATCTATCTATCTGTCTGTCTATCTACCTGTCTGTCTGTCTAGCATTTTATAACACTTTATTGTCCTCTTTATTATTATATTGTAATGTGTGTGAGTTACTAGGTCAGGTAATTTCCCTTGTGAATCAATAATTTGTCTAAGTCTAAAGCTTAAAACTATAATTTTGTATTTTTAAAGTGGCAAAGAATTGGATTACACGGTGTGCAAGCTACCAGTACTTCTGCAGCTTGCACGCCCTGCAATCCTCAAGAATGTCATTGGACTACTTGTCAGAGTAACTTTTTGTGTGTAAATATTGTGCGAATGTGTGTGTGAATGCATTTAATAAAACAACTAGACAAAATAAATGCATAAGAAAACATGTATGACTTGTTTTACCAATTAAAGCTAAAATAAAAGTATTTAATTGTCATTGTTGTATGAATAGATAAGGCCTATAACAGCCAAAAAAGTACATTAATTTAATTTGTCAAGAAAATTGTGGTAAAGGAAGTTACTTTTGCTTACCTTAGACTCCAAGAAGAAGCCTTTAAAGTATCTGTAGTTAAGAACAGCTCCTTTTGGTACATTAACAGTGCCAGTCCAGGTACCACTGTTTTGGAGAAAGACAAAAAGTAAGTTAGGGCTGAATGATTTGGAGAAATGTATGCTTTAAAAAGGTGCACTATGTAACTTTTTAGTTGGGGGTCTGTCATGGATACGTGTCACAGTATGACATTAAACAGCGCTACCTTACATTTACGCACTTAGAATTGGTCTTACTGTGCAAAAATACATGGAAAAACTGATATTCTGACAGTGAGTGGGGTTGCCTCTCCACAGATCTGACCTGTAAATTTGTCTGGTTTGAAAGATAGAAAGGTTTAACATACTATAAAACATTCCAGCTAAAGCAATAAGAACTCCATGGAAAAAAGATTTGACGGACCCTCCACCAAAAAAGTTCATACTTAAAAATGTCAAGAATCACATTTCAGAATATTTACATAATATAATATAAACAGATCTAAACTACAGGGTTAGCAGTTTTATACACGATGAGAGGATAGTTCGGTTTGAGGAGGAAATTATGGTGCTTCAAAAATTGCAGCCTTAACAGATTTACCCTTTGCATCCAACTGTACTGAAATTTCAATTTCATTTTTTTTTTTTACATTAAAAGTGTTATTTTTCTATTAAAGAATGTGCATGTTATAGGGCTGCAGTTCTTTAGGCAATGGTGTTTCAGTCAACCATACTTTGTATTACTTGAATAATTTTTAAGTATTATAATGTAATCATTTTAAGAGTATAAGGATTTATATGGGACAGCGCCATAAAGGAGAAGTCAGTGAGTGAGTGAAATAGCTGAATATTTCGTATTCTTTGCTGTTTATATGTAAAAAGGCAGATTGTATTTCACTGTATATTGTATATTTTTCTGCACACATTTGTTTTTGCTGAAACTCCTGTGCAGATGTAATGTAGGTGAATGCAGTTTGGGGCAGATACAAAGAGATACGCAACACTTTTGAGAGCTTTCAACACGCCCCATTTTAGTAAATTTATCTTTAGTAGACCAAGAATTCCTTTAGTCGACTACAACCCTAGTTGACTGTCTACTCTATACCAAGGTCCTGTTGGGAATTAAGTATTTTTTACACACATAAAAAATCTAAACAAAAAAGTACTTACACATCATCTTCTAAAGGGTGCAGCGTCACAGCCTTTTGATGGCTCCAGTTGCCCAAGGCTTCACAACTTCCAACAACTGCAATTACCTCACCTGGAATAACACAGAATATACCGGAATATAAGGTTAGATATGTAAATGTGATCCAACTATCCATCTAACTTCAGGTAACACTCACAGTTCACTATATAAACAAAAGCACAATGCAAAAAGACAGAAGCACTTTTTATCTTATTTGTTATCTTGTTTGTTACTTGTTAATTTACTTGTTAGCATAAGTGTTTAAAATATACTTTCAGTTTTGATCATTCAAACTCCAAAAAAAGTCATTGCAAAAATCTGTACACAATATATATATTTTTAGATCTAGATAACAATAATACCCAAGGTTACCAAACATATAGGTAAAGTATAGGTAGGACTAGTCATATATAGTGCAGAATTTTGAAATGTTTCTTTGAAGATAAAACAAATAGAAGTAGAGTAAATCCATAGAGTTTAAAGGTGCATTGTGTAACTTTTCTGGTGTAGGGTCTGCCAAAATCTTTTCTTCATGGAGATGTTGTTGCTTTGTCGGGAATGTTTCGCAGTATGGCATTAAACCTTTCTATCTTCAGGGAGACTAAACCAGACCAAGTTACAGGTCAGATCTGTGGTGAGGTGACCCCGTTCAGAGTCAGAATTGGCAGAGAAAGAGTTTATCTAGGTATTTTGAGCTATAAAACCACCTATAATTGAATAAATGAAAGGTAGAGCTGTTTAATGTCATACTGTGGACAATCCAGGCAGAGCAATGACATATTCATAGAAAAAAGTAGGTCACCGACTCAATCAAAACAATCAAAATGTTACATAATGCACCTTTAAAGTGACATTTCTGCACTTCTTTGATCAATTTTAGAGCGACAAGCACATTTTAGCACATTTCAGATGGATAATTACTGTTATTAGGCCAACAAAATTAAAGATTACATTAGTCCCTATCATGCCTATATAAATTGCTTCAAAGTGCAGAAACAATAAGGAAATAGGAACAATAAAAGAATGGAAATGTAAAATTGTATAAAAAGCACCATACCTGTGGAAGTCTCTCCTCTCACCACCAAATTGACCTGAGTAGTCTCCATGGTTTAAACAGACACTGAAGGATTGGCAACAGACACAATCTGAAAAACAGAAAAGATTTTTGAAGGAAACTCCACCCACAACGTTGACAACAGGTCTAACTGAGGCAGTAATTAGTTTGACATTGGCTATTGTGTTCTCAAGGCTGCTAGTGTCTTGCTTTAAATAGTAACTGAACCTTTTGGATTGGGGCCCGCCACATAGACTACTTCAACATTCTGCACTATCTAGTATCCATAGTATAAAAGACAACCTATATTATAAACCATGCACAGCTAAATCAGAATTTGACAGTGGTCCCTTCAAATAAATAAAAAGAGAGTTGGTTCTTCAAATGTGTAATAATTAACAGTAACTGTATAATCTTCTGATATTTCGCTTTTGATTTAAAAATTCTTGAGATAATTTTAGGATAAAGCTACAAGTTGTAAGACAAAAAGTTAATGTAAACACTCATTAATAATGTCTCGAATGTTGAACTTAAACAGTAATCAAATTTTAAATGACAAGATCCATTTAACTGTGATAGTAATGGTTTATCCATGGTTTAATACTGGTAGTTTTCAATTTCAATGTTGTTCCTCCTGGTTTATTTATAATTTTTTATGCTGGATCAGGAGAATTTGAAAATCATGTTTTATTATAGACCTAGTTTACTGATCAATTTCTGTTTTGTTTTGTTGGGTTTTTTTGGACCTGGGTTAGTCCTGTTTAAGACCTGAATGTGTAGTTCTTGGAATGAGACGTGGCACAGTCCAGTTTCAGTCCTGGTTCATGGTTCTGCCCTGATTTGGCCATGGTTAACTCTTGGATTAGTAGTATAGCTATAGGTTCTGGTTCAGATCCTAGTTTAGTCCTGGTGTGGTCTTGGTTCAGTCCAAGTTTAGCCCTGGTTTAGATACTTATTCAGACAACAGCTCTAGACTAAAATCTCAATGCAGATGATTCTAGTTCAACAATAAACTGCGGTTGACATAGCTTAACATGAGTAAACTAGCACAAGAAAATTATAACTTTTAACCTAACCTTTTTGGAAATGGCACCGTAGTTTTCCTTTGGCAGTAGTGATAACTTAATTCAGCAAAAAACATGAACGATTATCCAGCAGAGAGGCATCTGACAGACTGAAAGCAAAAAATGTGCTCGGATATTTCGCCGGTAGCCATGCCTTCCTCCTTCGTTTATAAAGCAAAATTAGCCACGACTAGCTAAAATACCTCTTAAAATAAAAGTAATTATATCATATATTACATTAAAACGCTACGGGCAAAGAAAAACCTGAAGACTGAAGGACAATCGCGGCTGTTGATGCTTTGAGCGGTAAGATCATCACGGTGTCCAGATAAACAAAATGTGATACGCACTTCCGGGAAACTTTTTCAAAGTAAAATACTCATCGGGTTAATTACAAGTTTTCAACTTTTAATCTTAACTTTGCGTGACAATTGTTGTTTATTTAAGTAAAAATGTTACCCAAATTGTTTTCTAGTATAATAATATGACTTTTGATCAGGAAAAAAAAAAAAAGTTACTTTTGCATGTTTAAATTCACGATGAATAATAGACTGTATATAAAAATATATATATATATATAATAATATAAATATATAAATAATAGAAAATAGAAATAGGAAATTTACGGTGTATATAGTAAGGTAAATATTAAATACAAAGTAGTTTTTTTACTAACTATTTGTCCAGTTAAAGCAAAAATAAACAGCTAGTCTAGGCTATGTATGTGAACTTTTTACATCTTTAGAGCCAGTATGCCGATTATTATAATTTATAATCTTAAATTTGCGTGATTATAATATAAAAATAATAGGGCTTTTATTTCCAATGTCTAATTTCGTGTAAGTTTGTGGTACTTGACGAAGCCGGTTCATACCGCTTTGCTCCGGATTCTTGGTCAGTCAGCTGTGCCGCATTCACGTTCACTAAGATAAGGTGGTCACGCAAAAACATTCAGTCCATGTGCCCTTGCCAATGAAGTGCCATTAATTCATAAAAATGTGTCAGTATCTTAAAAAATATCAATTATATGGGGGGTATTTAATGAAAAGTAATAAAATAAGCACTGGACCAATATAAATTAACGATAACGAAACTCCCGTAGATAACAATGAAAATTTTACGAGACGGACAAACGTCTCACCGTTGGTATCAACAGTGGTAGACAGTTGGTGCATCAATTTAGGTCAAGATCGGAGGGCAAACAACTTGTAAACTAAGAAAAGAGCAGAAATCACATACCAGTCGTAGGGTAACACGTTTTTGGACTTCTCCATTGGAGCTTGTTGGTCTTGTTTTGCGGATGCGCTAAAGTGCGGGTGAAACATGGGTGGAGTTTTGAGTGGGTGGGGGATGTTGTGTGTCGTGACATCACTATTTCTGCAACCTTGAGCAGTAAACAAAAACAAGTCCACATGGAAAGAGGATTTCATCTGACAGACTGGCACCATGCCCAGATATGTCTCCTATATTCCACGAAAGCGCGATGTTACGCAATTATATTGTATTAGACTACAGACTGCACCGTAAATTTGGGCTATAGGCTATCAATGTATGATTTCATAAACCAAACAAAACATTCCTTGTACAGGGCCTTATTTGTTCTCCAGTTGTGCAGCAAAATCATATATACATAGCCTAGTTTGAGAATTTGCATTAAGAAGTTTGTGAATGTAAACCAGTGATGAAAGAGGTACTCAAGTTTTTTTACTAGTAGTTTTGTTTTGTTAGTAAAAGTACAGATACCAAAGGGAAAAAAAATACTCAAGTGTAATATGAAAAAAAATCTACTTACATAAAAATATTAAAATACCCTTTTAAAAATCTTCAAGGGTAAAAAGTAAAAGTATTTTGTGCAGAGTTTGAGATCTAATAAAGCTTCAAATGTAGTGATTTTGATAAAGAGTTTTGTTCAACAAAGACAATTGAATTCTTTTTTTTTTTTTTTTTTTGTAGTTATTTTTATTTGTATATTTATCTTTGCTCAAACTATTACCTTGAAAAATCCTGCAAGGTTTTCAGCAGATCTCACAATAATAGAAATACTTATACTTTTCAATCTTGGAGTAGAAAGTACAGATACATGCTCTCAAATGTTGGTAAATAAAAGTTAAAAGTACCCATTTAAGTACAGATAGCTAAAATTTCTTCTACTTTTACTTTGTTACGTTCCACCACTGATGTAAACTAACGTGACAAACATACAAAATACACATTCAAACTATGGGCCTAGTAATCTAAGTAATCTGTTAAAACCTCACTGAGATTGTTACTTTAACAGTGGCTATTGTCCCTTTTGTCACAGTGTTTATTTTTTACTCAATAGTTTTCCAATAAATAGATGAGTAGATTTCGTAGAGAGGCACCCAGTAACATGGCAACGTTGTTTTCCACGAAAGCGCTTGTGTTATGCAACTAAATGAGAGCAGATGTATTTGATAGGTCTGCATATGTGACTACTCTCTGCCCCCGAGGTGAACATGTCTGAGCAAAGACGTTACATGAGAGTTTAAAGGTGGATTAAAGTTTTCAGATGCATGGGCGACCACCTGCTTGTCTCCATGGAGTTGTTATTGTTTTAGATATTCCAGAGTATGGCATTGGTGTGGTGCACTGTGTCATGTTTTTGACTCAGGGTCCAAGACCTTCTTGTTTCTGTGGATATGTCTTTGCTCTTTCCACAGTGTGACATTAAACAGCTCTACTTTACATTTGTTCAATTAATTAATTTGGTTTTAAAGAACAAAAATACCAAGAAAAACAGGCATTCTGACTGTGAGCGGGGTCGCCTCTCCACAGATCTGACCTGTAACTTGGTCTGGTTTGGTCTCCATGAAGACAGACAGGTTTAATGTCATACTGTGAAACATTCCAGACAAAGCAATAACATCTCCATGGAGAAAAGTATTTTGACAGATCTTTAACCTCTACTAAAAGTTGCACAATGCACCTTTAAACTTGTCTGTAGAGATGAACAGATGATGGTTAGATCTGTGGAGAGGCAATCCTGCTCACAGTAAGAATAATCTACATGTTTTCCAAGTTATATTTGCACTTGTCACCTTTCGAACACCTGTCATCAAATAGACCTAAAGTATTTATTTTTGACAAACTAGTCTATTCTTTTAAACCTACTGAAAGATTATAGGCTTATATATAACTTATTGATTACTATATGTAAAAAACAGTCAGAATTATACTCAAAATACTTTCTAATACTACAACTTCATGAACAAGATTACTTAAAAATACGTGAATGTGAATGTCACGTAGCCTGTTGGATACTGCATGGAGAAAAATACTGTGTCTCTTCCATTTCCCACCACTAATTAATGCCATAAGTGAAAAGTTAATTTGGGATCATAAATTATCCAGGGATTAGAACCAGAGTTTTGGAGTTGATTATTAAAATGGGAGCTGACTGGAGCGTGGAAGGAAATGGGAATTTAAACCTGTCCTGGAGCTTCCTCTGGTGGACATGCGGCAGTAACGCAGTCTGTGGTTTTTGAAGCGGAAAGTATTTACTTATTTATTTATTTATTTATTTATTTATTTATTTATACTTGCATACATACATACATTTACATTTTATTGACAAGCAATTATTTTTAGATTTTAATATTTTTAGACAAACTGAAGAACGTGAATAGTCTGAGAATAGTAATTTTACATATCGTGCGTTACATTACAGTAGCAATAAGACTATCAGTAATTCATTTTTTATTATTATTTTTTATTATTTAGGCTATTAGAATAATGCTTCTAAAATCGTTCCGTTCTCTTACTGTGATTCTGAAACAGAGATGGAGTTGGAAAATGAGTTATTACGTAATTTTTGTGTTTACAAAGAAAGGAGAGATGGGAAGAAAGGAAGAAGTGTGAGGAGAGGTAGAGAGAGCAAAGGGAGGGAGAGATGAGAGAAAGAGAAAGACAGTGGGTAGATTACAGAGACAGGGTTGATAGAGAGAGAGTAGAGAGAGATAAAGAGAGGAAGGAAGAGGGAGGAGAGAAAGTGAGAAGAGATAGGCGGATAAGAGAAAGGGCATAAATGAGATAAAGAGAGGTAAGGGAGAGAACAGAGGGAGGAAAGAGAGCGAAGGAGAGGAAGGAGAGGAAGAGGTAAAGGGGAAGAGGGAGAGCATGGAGGGAGAGAAAAAGATCGAGAAGAAAAAAAAAGAGGTGAGAGGAAGAAAAAAGATGAGAGGAGAAAGAAAGAGGTGAGAGGGAGAGGAGAGGGATGAACGGGGAGAGCGAGGGAGAGCAGAGAGGTAGAGGAAGAGAGGGAGAGGAAAGAGAAAGAGGAGAGAGGGAGAAAAAAAGAGGGAGAGCAGAGAGGGAGAGAAGAAGAGAGTGTGAGGAAAGAGAAAGATGAGGAAAGGGGGAGAGAGGGAGAAAAAAGAGGGAGAAGAGAGAAGAGGAGGAAGAGAGGGAGAGGAGAGGAAAGAGGGAGAAAAAAGAGGGAGACCAGAGAGTGAGGGGAAGAGAAGAAGAGAGTGAGAGGAGAGAGGGAGAGGAAAGGGGGAGAGAGGGGGAGAAAAGAGGGAGAGGAGGGGAAGGGGGAGAGAGGGAGAGGAGAGAGGGAGAGAAAAGAGGGAGAGGAAAGAGGAAGAAGAGAGAGGGTGATAAAAGGGGGAGAGAGGAAGGGAAAAGAGGGAGAGAAGCGAGGGGGAGAACAGAGGGAGAGGAGAAGAGCGGGAGAAGATCGAGAATGATGAGGAATGGAGGAGAGAGGGAGAAAAAAGAGGGAGAGAAGAGAGTAAGAGCAGAGAGGAAGAGGAAGAGACAAAACAGGGAGAGGAAAGAGGATGAGAGGAAGAAAAAAAGAGCTAGAGGGGAGAGGGAGAGGATTGAGAAAGAGGAGAGTGAGTGGGTGATCACAGAGGAGTGAGCGTTTGATAAAAGTGTAATGAAAGAGAGACGTGCTGATGACTGAAGGGGACTCTGCACCTCCATGAATATTTCAGACCGAATCTCAGGCTCAGGAGCTTTTCCATCACACAAGAACATCAGTCATCACCAGAAAACACCAACACACAATACACAGGATTACACTTTTCCATCTGACGTCATCAACATTTCCCTCAGAGTGTAACGCTAAGCACTGCTCTGTCTGAAGCTCTGTTATTTCTTTTTTAGATTTCGATCTGAGCTGTTTTAACACAATCTGACCAGAAAGAACAGATTTATAGCTGGAACTACAACAGGTAAGATGATTTGTGCTGTTAAACAAGTCTCGTACCCATAAAGTTACAGTCACAAGCTTTTTTTCTTCACCGTTTTTCAAGTTTTGTTAAAAATCAGAAAAAAAAAAACAGAACCATGAACACTCAGACTGATCACAAAC